GGCCGCCAGGTGTGTTGCGACGAATCCCATGAAGAAGTACGACAGACCGATACCGATCGCGAGCACCGCCCACATGAGTGACCAGAAATTGCTGTCGCTTTTGATCTTTTCGGGGCCGTTCGCGGGGTTGAATACTACAATGACTTTGGCAAAGAGGTAGGCCTGCAACGGGGTACCAGCCGCAGCACAAGCCGCAAAGACGACGGTGAGGATGCAGAGATACCAACGGCTCCGCTGCTCGTACAGCAACCGACCGAAACTCTGAAAAAGGTTGCGATTCACGGCCTCGGGCTTTGGACGTGTGCCGCTTGCCTCGGACATTGCCGCGCTCTTCTCTCGGCCAAGATACTCGCCGAGGTCTTCCTCCTTTGGGTTATCGTCATCGCTGGCTTCCGTCTGGTCTCCGAGGGATAGTTGCTGGGCATGGACCAGCCCGTAGTATACACCCTCATCGTCCTCCAGGAGGCTCTCGTGGGTGCCTTGCTCAACCACCTTGCCCTTCTTCAAAACAATGATTCGGTCGGCCTTTTTGATAGTGGAGAGTCGATGGGCAATGGTGATTGTCGTACGGTTCTGAGAGACCTTGTCGAGAGCGGCTTGGACAATTCTCTCACCGCGGACGTCAATGGCACTAGTGGCCTCGTCCAAGATGACAATCTTTGGCTTCCTGACGATGCTTCGAGCAATGGCGATGCGCTGACGCTGTCCGCCGGAGAGCTTTGCGCCACTGTCGCCGACGAAAGTGTCATATCCCTAAGAGATTTCGCGATTAGTATGTGTATTCAGAAGCAAGTAAGGCCGGGCGGCGGATGCTTACGTCCGGCAGACGATCGATGAATTCGTCAGCGAATGATTCCTGGCAGGCTTCCTTGACAAGAGCTCTCTTCTTATCGTCGGATTCGTCTTCCCACTGTGAGCCAATCAACCCGTAAGCAACATTCTTGAAAATGGTGTCGTTGAAAAGAAATGGCTCTTGTTGAACAAGACCAATTTGTGATCGCCACCATTTGAGGTCGATGTCGTCGAGCGCATGGCCGGAAGTAGAGACAGACCCCTTGAGCTCCACGGAGGGTCCGGTCTCCTCGGGCTCGGGCTTTTCCTCATCGTCAGAGTCTACCCCGCCGTTCTTCTTGCTCTTCTTCTTTTTCTTCTTCTGGGCTTCCTTCATCTTGTCCTTCTCGATCGTCTTGGCGATGATGTACTGGTCTTGCAGGGTATACCATCTTTCAATCAGACCTACGATGGTGCTCTTGCCTGATCCTGAAGGACCAACGATTGCTGTGACCTTGCCCGCCTCGATAGTAAGATCCAAATCGTCAAGAACCTTGACATGTGGCCGGCTGGGATACGCAAAGGTGACGCCCTTGAATTCGATGTTCTGGTTGGCGGATACTTCGGGCCCCTTCAGCTCCCCTGTACTTGGACGAGGAGCATCAATGACGGTCAGGAACTCGCATGCCGCGACCATTGCTTTGCTGATGGCAAGCAACGGAGTGCTGATACGTTCCAGGGACATGACAGTAAGCATGACTGACATGAGGACACTGTCTCGTATGTTAGATAGGGGTTCAGGGGTTTCACATGGTTTGACGTTTCTCACATGATGACTTCGCCGACATTGTCAACTCTTCCGTCAACCCAAGAGTGTGTGCCGTACCAGAATGCCAGTCCGAAAGTACCGAAAAGAGCGAAGAACTACGATGGATTAACACAAATTGCTTCTTCTGACCACGGAAGAGTGTGTGAACTTACAATCATGCCGAACTGGAGAGCCATCAAAGGCGCCGTGGCCTGGCCCTTCTGACGAGCAACATTGACCCAACGAGCATACCGAGCAGCAATGCGATCTTCCGCACCGCAGGCAGCAACCATACGAATGCTTGAGAACGCCTCACTTGCAACAGCAGAAGCCTTGCCTTCCGCCCGGGTTACTTGACTGTGGCCCTTGATGATGAAAGGCAACAAAACACCCAAAACCAGGAGGATGAAGAGAATGACCGACGCTGTGACAAGAGTCAGAGACCAGTTGTAAGTGAACGCCACAATGATGGCAGTCCAAATTGTGCCATTGAACTCGAGGAAGACGCCGAGCTTTTCCGAGATGCCAATCTGGAGTGTGTTTGCGGTAGATGTGATGGTGCCAGCCGCAGCTCCGGCTGGCATCGAATCGAGTACGTGGATGGTCTGGCCGAAAAGACGTTGAAGGTAGTGCAAGCGAATAGCAGAAGACAGCCGGATGCCAATCATCCTAAACGCAAACTTGTTGACATAGTTGAGGGCGAATCGAGCCAGGAAGAGAATGAAGAGATAAAGGGCTTGTTTGTCGGCAATCCTCTTGAAGTCGTCTGGAGATACGGAGCCGTCTCCAGAAGTGAATCCGTTGAACTGGTTGACAAGTTGGCCAAAGATGACTACGCATGTAAGTCAGATAGTTGGTATGTACGGGCAAGTCTGTGTTTTCTCACTGTTCATCAATGGCAATGTGGTACCGGCGGCGATGGAAGCGATGCCGGCCGCAAAGTACGCAAAGATGTCCCATTTCGTGGCGTACGTGAAGACGCGCAGGTAGTCCTTGAAAGTAGGTTCCCGTTCAGGCTTGATCTTGGCTTCGGGAGTAGGAGCATCATCCTTGCTGGAACTTGAATGCACCGCATCCTTTTTGTCGTCAAAGACGCCTGTTGCCACCGAGGGCAGCGCGTCTGACGGCGCCGTACCCGTCTCGATATTATGCATGCTGGAGTGTTTGTCTGTCGAGAACGGGACTCAAGAAGACATCGTCGGTAGTCGGAGTGATGTTGTAGAAGAGGCCTGCATCCAACGATGGTTCGGCTTGGTAGAGAGAAATGGAAAGAAACCAATTAGAATGTTCTCTTGGATCTTATGAACATGGAGAGAAAAGGGCAGGAGTCGAGCAGACCGGGTTGGTCCTAGACGTGTTTATACATCTGTATTCGAGAGAGAATACACGTAGACAAAAGGGAGTGATGGAAGCCTCAAGGAGACGACTAGACGTCGAATCCGAAAAAGAAGCGGAATCCTAGTGTATTACATCTCGTCGTAAAAAAACAAAAAAGGCCTTCTATCCAGGCATGGACTTTTACGAGACGTGCAGCAGCGCCTTCGAAGCAACCTGCTATTACGGCACGTAGGGGTACAGACCGGGGGACTCCAAGTTCAACGGACGGTAGGTGGGTCAGCTTGGACCCACTTCGGATGGATAATCATCCCGCTTAGGAATGGTGGGAGCTAAAGCACGCGCCATCTTCTGCCCTACCACCAGCATCCTACGACTCGGGAGTCTAATTGGTGTCCGGAGTACCTATCCGTACCTGCTTGTGAGGGTCTTTGTTTGTGGGAAATGGAAGTGTCTAGGTAGCCTAGGTGCCTTGCTGCTTGCATGTTCTGACATGTTCAGGTGACGGAGTCGATGCTTACTTTCTGGCTTGGCTAAGAATCTAACCGAATGGACGCCACGATGGAAGAGTAAGAGTCCGCCGTGATGCCCTGGTGATATTGGACGAACTTGAGACGACGTTGGCTGGCATTTGGATCGCGAAAACATACTTCCCGCCTCTTGGGAACCGCCGGGGACCCGAATACGCGGATCAATTCATGATCGCTGGGTAACAACCAACGAGGCCGTCCTGATTGCGAAATTCGGTACTTACAAGAACAAGCGTGTCCAGCTGTGTCTAACAGTCAACCTGGTCTGCAGCCTATCAGCGTTCACGTCGTAAAGGGCTCAAAGAGGCTAGCGTTTCCTTGGTTTTGGCACTGGCCGACGTTCTCATCGTTTGGCAGCGTCGTCCCACTTTTTAGCGCTGGGCGACTGTTTTACGATATTTACGGGCCGTGCATCTTCACACATCACCATGCCATCGAAACTTGGCCATCTGCATTTCATTTTTCGGCGAATGACTGACAAGAGGGGCATTGTCATTGTCAATCAACTCAAATTCGCGGAATCCTTCGTTTGCGCTCACTCCCAGTGAACTGTCCGATTGAACAGGTGGCGCTTTGCTCACGCCACAACCTTCGTCATCCCAGACACTTGCTATACATATTCTTCATCTTCATACCATTGCGGAGTTTCTGCCTACTGCTGCCTGCTGGAAGCCAAACTCCGACTGTCTGGCATTGGGGTCAATTGTCATTGGACTGTGCCGGTGCCATGGTCCGCTGGAGTTTTCTCTCACTTACGGCAGTACAGGGCAGTCAGTGACAGTCTAGCCAGTCCCTTATCATGTCATCGCAAAACGGGGCATCATCGGATTCGGATTCTAGGTAGGAACCCGACCGCAACAATAGTGCTTCCGCGGCACCTCTCCGCTTAACGAAAGCGACAAAGGACTACCGGCCCGGAAGATGTTCCATGTTCCTAAAACAACCTCCTTGGACAGTAGTAACATGTTAAGATTAAAGATAGAGTTGAAGTTTGCAATCCGGAGGCTCACCGGGTGTTGCATCTTGCCTTGCACCAATTATGGTAGAGGAACTAATTCTAGTTACCATTTCCCAGCCCTGAGTGGGTTGCACACCCGTGGCCAGATCTCACCCTGTGACCAGCTGTCATAAACTTGCAATTTGATGATTATTATGGCCGTACTCAAAAACCAGTTAGATTTTCGAGCTGGATCAACACTTCTGTTGCGACGGCCGGCAGATTACTCCAACCTATCTTAATCCTGCTGGAGGGACCAGGGGCGATATAACTGTAGAGCGCCTGGTTGTAAAGTACGAAAACCGCGCGTGGTCAACCAGAGCCTAGGTCACTACGAGGATGTTATTGGTCTTTCGATTATTATAGATAGTCTTGGAGTCTACCACGCGGCGCGGGCTGTAGAAAAGCTCGATGTGTTGCTCCTGGTGACTTACCAGCAACAGTAAAGCCAGCCTCGTCGTCGGAGCAGGGATCTGCCACCTCCCACACGGTACGTCATTGGATGGCGCAAAGGGGGTGCACCCCCGTCGAGTCACAGCCTTGCAGCCATTTTTCGACCTCACAAACCCCGTCCCTCCCCCAAAAACCCGTCGCAAGTGCATACGGCCCCTCCAAAGCTTGCGATTGAGTCACCTACCCAACCAAGTTTACCCGGCGCCGCTTTTTTTGTCCCTTTTGAAGTCGGTACCCCCTTCTGCGCAACAAGCGCCCGAGATCTCGGAAGCCAGGTGAATGCAGATCCAGGTGAAGATTTTCTCGAGGTCCGCCCGACCGGCCTACCGACTGACTTTTCTTTCTCCAAGCCCAATTACATCCCCTCTTTTGCCTAGAACTAGCATCAGGCCCAGCAGTAGCAGCCGCGTGCTCCATACCACGTCGAAGTCGTCGTCTCGTAACCAAAGCGATAGCCCAGATCAACAACTGCCCAACATGGCGCCGAAATCAAAGTTTGAGCTCAAGACCCCAAAGGGCACCAAGGATTGTCAGTCCATATTTTACTCTTTGCGACCCGCGGAGACGACATCGTACGACGGACGCGCCGGGGACTAACACAATGTTTGCTTCAAAGGGTTCGGCAAGGACATGCTCATCCGTGAGAAGATTTTCTCGCAGCTGAAGGGCGTCTTCCAGAAGCACGGCGGAATGGAGCTTGATACCCCCGTTTTCGAGTTGAAGGAGATTCTGTCAGGCAAAGTACGACATATTCCTGTGTTTACCCCTCCCCCCACCTTGCGAGAACCCCGCGATCCACTTCGGGTCCTCAACTCAATAACAAGACACAAGATGCTGACCAACACCCTCCTCCATAGTACGGCGAAGACTCGAAGCTCATATACGACCTGGCTGATCAGGGTGGTGAGATTACCTCCCTGCGATACGATTTGACCGTCCCCTTTGCGAGATGGCTTGCCATGAACAAGGATATCCAGAGCGTCAAGCGCTACCACATCTCAAAGGTCTACCGCCGGTACGACTTACTACACCTTCTTCCTACGATATACTCGGCGGCTAGCTGACATACTCCTTACAGTGACCAGCCTGCCATGAACAAGGGCCGCATGCGCGAGTTCTACCAGTGCGATTTCGACATCGCCGGTACCTACGACTCCATGATCCCCGACGCCGAGATCATCAAAATCGTCGTCGAAGTCTTTGAGGGCCTGGGCTGGAACGGAAACTACACCATCAAGCTCAACCACCGTAAGATCCTCGACGGCATCTTTGAGGTCTGCGGCGTCCCCGAGGACAAGATCCGGACGATATCCTCGGCCGTCGACAAGCTCGATAAGCTCCCCTGGGCCGACGTGCGCAAGGAGATGACAGAGGAGAAGGGCCTGGACGGCGAGGTGGCCGACAGGATCGGCGAGTGGGTTGTCCAGAAGGGCAAGCAGGACCTGCTCCGGAAACTGCAGCGCGACGACAAGCTCGCCGCCAACGCCTCGATGAAGGCCGGCATGGCCGACCTCGAGCTCCTCTTCAACTACCTGGAAGCCTTTGGCGCCCTCGACAGAGTATCGTTCGACCTCTCCCTCGCCCGTGGCCTGGATTACTACACCGGTCTCATCTACGAGGTCGTGACAGAAGGTTCCGCACCGGCCGCTACGCCTGACACGGACGGCAAGACGGCGAAACCCAAGAAGAAGAGCAAGAGCAAGGACGACGATGACCGTTCCGACGACCCCAGCGTCGGTGTCGGCAGTGTCGCAGCCGGAGGACGGTAAGGAAGAAAGAAACCTAGGTCACAGTTCTCAGGCCGCTAACAATGGGTGGCAGCTATGACAACCTCGTGGGTATGTTCTCTGGCAAGACGCAAATTCCGTGCGTTGGTGTAAGTGTCTCCCCTTCCTCGTCAGAGCGCAAAGAGCGCGAAGAAGGAAAAAGTGAACGCGTGGAATACTGATAGGTAGTCTAGGTCTCCTTTGGCATCGAGAGAATCTTTAGCATTACCAAGGCTCGGATGCAGGCCGAGAGCGAGGCACCGCAAAGTACGGTTGACGTCTTTGTCATGTCCCTGGGCTCCAAGGCCGGTCTGGTCAAGGAGAGAATGGAAGTCTGCTCGAAGCTGTGGGACGCCGGCATCAAGGTAAGACCACTCATCCCATGCTCTATGCAGAGGGCCTCGACTCGAGCCCCAGAGAAGGTAATTTTCGCTGACAATCTTTCTTTGTCTAGGCCGAGTTCCTCTACAAGGTCAAGCCCAAACTGCCCCCGCAGTTCAAGGCAGCCGAGTCCAACGCGACCCCCTTCGCCATCATCCTCGGCGACGACGAGGTCCAAAAGGGTGTCGTCCGCATCAAGGAGCTGGGCCTGCCCGAGGGCCACCCCCAAAAGGACGGCGAGCTCGTCGACATGGCCTCGCTGGTGCCCGAGGTGCAGAAGCGCCTGTCGCGGAAGCGCGAGCTCGATAACCTCGCCACGCGGGCCGAGGGCCTGCGCGTCGTGGGCGGCATGAAGGGCGAGGACATCAAGTCCACCACGTCGGCAACGGAAAAGGAGAAGAAGGAGGAAACTGTCGTCGAGACGCCTGCTGCTGGTGCTGCTGCCGAGGCGCCTGTCGCTGCTGTCTCGGAAGGAGAGAAGCCCGCGGAGGCGGCGACGACGGAGGCTACGGACGAGAGCAAGCCTGCAGCACCGAGCGCATAGAGTGCGGTGGTGATGAAGATTTTTAGAAGCAGAAGCACAAAAAAGCAATTGAAAATAGAAACGGCCATCTACTGCTAGGTGGGCGATGATTTGCACTCATTACCTCGAGCTATCTATCCATCTACCTACTCCAAGCTCGAATTGTGATCCTCTGGTCGCGCAGTCTTAGAAGCCACACTATGTAAACCATAACCTATCCGCGGTCAGCGGTTCTAATATCTCACGATCGCACCTATATCAGGTAATAGCGCATAGCAGCAAGCCAGATCGACAGGTCAGAATTTAGAAACCCCCTCCCCGTCAAGTTTATCGTTACAGGTTTGGCGTGGATCACTTCCCAAACCACCACGTGTGGGGGGAGAAGAGAGAAACAACGAGTGGCGTAAGTAGGAACGGTAGATAGTCAGAACAGTGACCGTCTTTCCACTATGTTACCTCACAAAGGAAACGCGAGAGCTCAAAACAGAAGCCCCTAGCGGGTTGCAACGGCGGGATTGTCAGGCACCCGCCGCACGCAAGAAAAGCTTGGTTCCGTCGCACCATGGATGATCTAGTGCCGAACTCAATGCGCGCAGGGACTTGTTCGTGAACTTGGTCGACTAGTCTTAGTCTACCAAGCTATTCGTGTGTTGTTCGATCAGCTTCGAGCTCGAGAAATCGGATGGCCTACTGTAAGAAAGCACATCTTTCTTGGCAGCTTCGTTGATCATCTACTGGTAGACAACCCCGGATATCTATACTGTCCAAAATTAGTGTATCCGTAGGGGCAAGAGAGAGAAGATCCGGGCACTCCGGGGTCGGCAGGGTATGAAGAGAAAACGCCCGCGAGGCGAGACTGAGGTCATTCGCAGATACTCGCGGTCAAATGAGCCGTTTCAATACCGAAGTGGACGTCCCGACTCCCGTCTTCTTTCGCCTTCTCTTTCTCTGTTATTCAATTTGACCCGCGCTGGTCGATCTACCCCTCACGACCGGCCCTGGAGCCTGGACTTGACGATAAGTAGTCGGGTGGGGTTCCAAGGAATCCAATGCGCACAACCCCGCCGACATCGTGATAGGGCGAGCAGGGCTCGAGTCAAAGTTGACAGGGCCTCAGATCAGAGCCTGTCCAGAGGTGACAGGGTCAGAGAGGAGCCTGGGAAAAGCTTTGCGGAACGCCGACAAAGAGAACTTGAGCGCATTTGCTGCAGACGAAGAATGGATCGAAAGCTGCACGAATCGGTCGATTGACGGTTGGGAACTGGCACTTGTGGTGTGGTTTCCGTCCGCTACTGCAGGAGGGACCGGGCCTAGGTGCAGCACAACGTTCGTCTGAATTTTTTTTTAAAGTATTTTACTTTTTTTTGGAAGAAATTCGTGCCTGTCCGTTGCGCATGGCTGGTTGTTCCATGGCCATCCCGCGAGTTGGGGTTCCTGCCATAGTATCAATCACAAGGAACATGTGGCGAGTGTTACACTTTGTCAGTCATACTCTGAGAGACTTACTCACCTAAGTTGTGCCCATAGCTTGTTGCATTGCATTCGGCTTCAAACGCCACCTACACAAAACCTGGCTGGCTTCGACAAGTCGTCAAACTTGGAAATGCGAATCAGCCTACTGTTTGATCTTGCGGTGAGAAGGAGAAGTGTGCAAGCACGGACGTCCATTGTGCAGCAGCAACACGATTGCAACCGTGATAAGGGATTGGAGGTGCATGCCGTCTGGAGTCCATGGAGATCTGTGCGGATGTGCACAACGTGGTGGTGATGGGGAGGAGGAATTGGGGGAGCCCAACAGCCTATAGGCGAGCGGGGGAGATGGAAATGTTTCGTTTCAGTCCCAATTTTTGATGGTTCCGAGTCCGTGAGGCAACGCTGAGGCCTCGTCCTTGGGATCAAGTTTGCACCTAGGCACACGACCGTCGTTTTCTGGGGTCTGGCTCGCCCCTGAAATCACAGCTACGAGAACGAGCACGAGCTACGCAGATGGATCGTATGCGCCGCGTCGAATTTGTTCAGGAGAACGACGCGAGGTGATAGATGCCGAGACACCTGAGGGCTTGAGCTTGGTTGATGCGGCGAGTTGACCCATTTGTATTGCTTTTCCTTGCCCGCATCGTCCATTTCCTCTGCGCTGGCACTTCGTGTTTGCTTTTCTCTCAAAGTCCCGGTAGCGGTGGAAGAAGTTTTCTGCCACTTCCATTCCTCTCGTTATTGTGGTCTGGACGGGCATCAATGCCATCGTGGAAATGAGAAGCAGTGGTGGTAGTCCGGCAGCTTGACTATTCCATGGAATATTCTGCCCACTGAAAGACCCTCGACGATGAACTGGAGCGAGGGACCATGGCGCTGGCACATGTGCCCGACGTGGATATCCGTACGGAGCACCGTATATTGAGGTTACCACGTTATTGGGACGGACGGGCGCTGCTGCTGGCGGACCGCGGCAGGGCACCAGGGGCATATTGCGGTATATGTCGGCGGAGATTCATTCGCTGGCGTGTCATATTGCATGCTTTTCTGCATTACTCGAGTGCCGGCCCTGAACAGGTGAAGGAGACCCAAGTGCACAAGGAGTGGGAGAGGAAGATCGTAGGCTAGCCAGGTTCTGGGACCACAGTTCCCAGAGAACGGTTCGAAAGTCGAAATCCATGAGGAGTGGTGCAGGGTCGCACCTGCGCGTTATGAACGTGGGAGTGGGTGTGATGCTGTCACTTGTCATGAACCTGGGCAGGAAGAGGAGTTCTTGAGAACAAGGCGGGCCAAAACATCGCGTTGCTTGTGGACATGATGTTCAATGAGGTGCAATGAGAAGCGGCAGAGGCGAGAGGAGGTTACGAGGATGGCGACAGGGGAGGCAGGGGGGGAAAGAAGCGTGGAAAATGACAGCAACCCGAGGAAGGGAACGACGATGGAGATCTGATGCAGGGGATGGTGCCTTCCGTGGAGCATATTGGAGCCTCTTGCCCTCTTTGAGACTTGCAACACTTGGTACGTATTCATACGGATAGTGGAGGTCTTGGAGGGAAAGACCCGCCGTTCGGTTGTCGGTTCGTGGCTTCCGGTGCAGGGCAGCAGGTCGCCTAGTCACCAGTCACCCACACCCAGGAAAGGAAGGCAGGCACGACGGGAAGTCCCTGGCTGTGCAGGTACGTCTCGACTCCCACTTCCCAATTCCCAAATCCCAGGGCGAGGGCAATGAGGCTCCCCTCCTCTTTCATCTCGTCACCCCTCAACTATCCCAGCAAGACTCCAACATCAAACACGGCGAATCGACGACCAACCGGGGAACTGGAAATCAAACTGCAAATGGAAGGTCTGGAAGGTCCACGGCCAAATTAACCCGTTGCCAGTTGGTTGATTGCCTTCTCCCCTGGTGGATTCGGGTTTGATGGCCGTTAGTTTTCTGCTTTGCTCCTCCGAAGAGAAAGTGAGAGGGAAGGTATTACCAGGTTGTACTCACCTCTCCTCGGGTTGCTTTCTTTTTCATTTTCCCTTTCGAGCAAGGGTTTCGTGTGTCTTCCAACCGTCTTGCATCATACTCCACCACACAGCTGGTCAGCCGTCAAGAAGCTGCGCTATGTGCAAGAATCTTCCCTTCAAACTCGACGTTTGGACTTCCGGTTCGTTGCTACTCAAGTGTCGAACTCTCTTCCTTACTGACGAGACACAGACGGCGTTTCTCCAATGTGTCGTGAGCCGTGACTCGGAGTCTAGAGTCTTAATCAGCATCGCCTCCCTTCGCAAATGACATCTAATAGTCGACCGGCGTGCGAATCATCTCCGTCCATCCCGTGCAATCCACAACGGGACTGCGCATCGCCCGTCTCCCCCATAAATCCCTGCTTCACCATCGCAGCTAATTACTTATCGCGTGTAGAACACGCTACGACCCTCTCGGGATGCAATTAATAGCTCCAGGTACGGGCACTTCTGCTTCACACGCACAAGAGCCACAAACTTCGATGGCTTCGACCGCCCCGTCTTCGTCTTCGACCTTTTCCCTCGTAGGCCCATACGGATATCTAGCGTGTCCGGTCTACGGGCTAACGGACTAGGGCGCTGCTGTGAGGTGGGAACTATTCGCACCTTGCAGATTGCACAGGGCGACCTTCTCACAACTCTACCCGAGCAACCCAAGCCATCTCAAGCCATCTCAAGCCATCCCACGCACCAAGCAACGCCTCGCAGCTCATAGCGTATCCACGCGAGGGCCGAGAGGACCATTTATGATTTGCTAATTCGTGCCCCAAGGTACGCGGGCTGCGCAGCACAACGCGTAGCCAGGTACGCAAACTGCTATGGGCAGAGTTGCATTTGTACGCAAGAGACTCGCATTGAGGGTGGGTTCAACACCATGGGCAGCACCAACGACGAGCAGGGTTAGAGGCAAGGGTCGACAGGAAAATCCACGCCGGTGCCAGGGGAACACACCACAGCGAGATGGAGCTCGATATGCAGGTCCTCCAAGGAGACGAGAAAATCTCATTGCGCAGGCCACACACGCCTGAAGCTTGTTCCCCCTTTCTCCCTAGTCCAACGTCGATGCGCAAACACCCTGCCCAGGCCCCAATCCAAACTCGAAAAGTGCTCGAGCTCTGCTCTGCCAGACTGCGTACGGTATTCGTACGGATCCCCAAATCAAGTGCTTGAGGGGTCCCGAAATCACCTCCCCTGGATGCAATCCATGACTCCATGAGGTACTTGAACACGGCCCATCCCCCCCAGGCCCAAAGGGTCTCTGCTCTTGGTTTTCGAGAACTTTTCCTGTGATCGATCCCCAGCCTCTTCCGTCGGTTCTTCTTGTGTTTCTCGTCTCGTCTCGGCTGCCCACCTAGTACTGCCTTGGTCTACGGATACACTCTGTACCATCAGCCTCAACTGACAGCTTCCTCAAGCAGCCTTTTCTACTTGAGATTTCCCAGCTTCCCATCAGTGGCCACTTCGTCATTAATCCAGATCCCTCCGCTGTCTCACCTTGTGTACCTTGTCTCGGTCTTCACTGCTCAGCCGCCACGCTCACTACCTAGCAACCACATACAAATCCTATCATTGATCTTCAATTCGATTGGCGCTGCCCTGTTCCTGTCTCTTCGACCTTCAGCTCATCTCAACTCCAGCCTCATACAGTCTACTTTCCCGTTTTCGACAGATCACGAGCATAATCGAATCATTGACTGTACTACGTACGACGACCTAGATCTACAACACCTCGACGACTGTTACTTGGGCACGTCATTGTTTCCCAGTTCGTCCTAATAATCTTGCAAACCCGAAAGTTCACCCGCAACCAACTTCCGTCGTGGGAACATCTAGACGTCTGAAAAGCCCAACATTCCTGTCGCAACTTCTGACACAAACCCTGGACGAAGATCATTTGGGTGCTAAGGTCAACCGTCGACCTGCACGCGACTTGCACGAAAGTTCAGACGACTTGAGACTGTTCCCGAGTCCCGGTACAACGCCTGTTACGCATTTCGGGGTAACCTAACCCGCTTACACCCAAATCATCACCTCGGGCTTTTTCGAACACGCCCGGCCTCTTCATCTCTCGTCTGCCGCTCTCGACTTTGCTGAGCCAACTCTGCATCTCTTCGATACCTTGACCTCAGCATAGGTGATAAGTGTCACGAACACTATTGCCTGGTCCAACAACGCCGCGGCTTCCCATTGGCGCTTGGAATCCATCCCACGCTATCGACTTTACGAGTAGACCTTGGCCCGAATCTCACCCAGCCATTGGTCTCATATCGGACGAAAAGGTGGCGAGCTGAGTTAGCCGTCCTCCATCACTCAGCCAACCTAGTATCGCGAACTCACCCTACACGCGCAAATACCTTAAATCCATCACGATGGGCGGTTTAATACCTCTCCTCCTTAAGCCCGTTGCCGCCGGCTCCCGTAGCAGCGTCGTTTTTCCTATCAACAGAGCAGCATCGCCCAGCGCCCCCAGCAGTACGCCACAACCTGCGGCAACATCACCAATCATGGCTACCAGTTCAGTCGGACCTCCCAAGGCGCGAGTGCACAAACGGTCCGCATCGCAGCCGGCACCGCTCCCCGTCCTGCCCTATACCTCTGCTGAATGGAGCAAGGCTGTCTCTGAGGTCAAGCGTCAGTATCTCAACCGCAAGTACCGACCGTGCTCCTTGCGCTGTTGCGAGATCCTAGACAATATTAAGGAATCTGTAAGTCGCATTCATCTGAAGTGGCTTGAGCCTGTATTAATCGAGACAATAGGCAAACGTGGAGCCGGCATATCTCATCTATCTTCACTTTTACGCCGCTAGCTCCTTTGACATGCTCTCCCGGCCTTTGCAATGCGCCTCGCCTTATCGGACACGGCTTCTCCAACAAGCTCGTGAGCACTACACGCGAGCCTCTGAACTGAGCAAGGCGGCGGATGAGACCATGGCTCGCTCATCAAGGCCATCCTCAGCGGCAACCTCGAGCATGCATTCGCCTTCGAGCTCTACTTCATCCTCGCGGACATGGACGAATTCGACCGCCTTCTCATCACCCACGCCGTCTGTGTGTTCCGTTGAGGACGCCATGAACAAACTTGCCGCGACCCAGCCCCCACCAAAGAAACGCGTCACCTTCTGCGACGTCCCCGAAGAACCTTTCATTCGTCCCGATTCCCCAACTCTCGGCTTCGATGACTTCCTCTGTGCCCCAGCGCAGCCCGAGCCGCCGCGCTACCTCCCCGTCCTCCAAGAAGAGCCCGAGCCCGCGGACGAACCCGAGGAGCAGGTTGTAAAACCAGCAACACCCGAACCCCTGAACGAAGACTGCGACGCCTTTGACTTCCTCCAAGAGCGCTCCATCCACCGCTACTGCGGCTTGCTCTCCAGCTTGCGCTCGCAGATCGCCGTTCACATTTCCAACGTCGAGGAGCAGCTCGCGGCACCCCGTCAAAGTGATACGGGACGCCACTCGCTCCCTGCCAGGGCGGCGACCCCGGAGCTCAGCGATGACCTGCGTAACCTCGATATCAAAGCCCGTATCGAGCGTCTGCGCCAAAACAACTGGCAACGACGTCGCTTCGATATCAGTCGCTATGAGGCGCTTCGCGAGAGCGTCCTCGCCGAGTTGGAATGAATCGTCGCTACCAGATAATCGATCTGTCGTTTTCTACGGTGTTCACATTTTTACATCGTTTCCAGTCTCAAATGATACCACCGGCCTCCGGTCTCTCTTTCTTATATTGTACCATGATTTGGAGCAATCTCGTCGATTTCTTCCACGGCGAAACAAAAAGCATCTAGGGGGAAGGTCCCATCCCTCGTTCGGCAGCATCTCAGGGCAGGATGGCGCACTCACTGGTGGTCTTGCTCTTTTTTCCAAGTTTCTCGATATACCTTGTACAAGCACAACAACGACTCGTTACGAAACCTAAACCATACAATTAGTATTAGTAGTAGTAGTTTTAGAGCAAGGGACGGCACAGGGGCGACGGGTCTACTGTAGACTCCCTCCCGTCCTCCCCGACTTCAAGTAGCAGCAATGCCCAAATAGCAAAGTTACATCTTGATAACCTTTGTCGTCCCGCATCCAAAGTGTTCCATGTGTCATCCCTGATCAACTATGCTGTCTCTAACTTCTAAAGCCTAGAGATCGGAGGGTAAGGGAGACATAATCAGGCAGGGAGGGGTAAGAGCAAACGAGCCTAATATAGCAGTAATACTATCTATCGACCTCCTCGCTTGCTAGCTAACTGTGGCTAGATGACTGGGTCCGGTCACGGTCAAAGTCGATGCAACAGATTACTACGACTAGAGATCCGAGTGAATACACTTGCTACAGAAGGGCTACTATCTGGGTATAGGATAAGAAATGCAAAAAAAAAAAAAAAAAAAAAGGAGTTCACTCGCAGGATGGGGCTACATCTCTTCGGTGCTCATGCTGAGATTCGAAACCCGAAACTTAGAAAGCCTGCCGTCGATCGAGTAGGCTGGAGGGCGGAAATCGATTATTGACCTGATACCATTCCACCATCCAACCCAGTTTGACCTGACCAACCGACACAGGAAGGCGCCTGCTGTGCTGGTGACAGGAACGGCGTTGGAGGAACCTATATGGGCCTCCTCCTGTGTGTTCACGTCGTGGAATACTCTGATGCTTCTAGCAGAGTCCCGGGTCTAGGCAGTGCCTGGCAGCTGTAACGCCATCAGCCGTGGACTTTCAAGTCCGAGGTTAACCAGGCTACTTCATCAAATAGTCAGATGCTGTGTGAAATGCTAGCAAGATGTACCAAGGTCGAGTAATGGTGTGCACGAAGAGATTCGATTCTGGAAGAAATGATGGGAGTTACTCAAAGTCATATCTGTCCCTGGCTTTTCTGTTCCCCCCGCCCGCTCCGGCAAAGCAACAACCATATCGCGCTCATCTAGCCATGTATCTTCGGCCTGAAACGAAATGAGTGCGCAACGAAAGGCAGTAACAACTTAAAAAACTTCAAAGCCGCTGCTGAGCCGTGATCAGTGGCCCGCTATATCATCCAACCCGTGTGGTATCATCTTCCCGAGTCCCGGCTGGCCCGCCCAGGTCACCAAACAGAGACGTTTGTCGCTTCTCAACCCTGAAAGCTGCGTCTTCTGTGCTCCTTCTCGGCATCCTCCTTCACCTTGAGCGTGTCCTGCTGCTGCTTCATCTCGCGGACCTTGGCAAGGACGACCTCACGGAAGATGGCGCCCTTGATCGTCTTGGAAAGGCTGCGCTTCTCGCCAGCGGCAACCTCGTGTGCGCCAACGTGCTTGGACTGGTCTGCGGCGCTGATAGCGTCGGCTGGGAAGTCCGAATCCTCTGTGTCTTCCTCTTGCGACTTGAGCATCTCGATTCTGTTGGCAAGCTTGACCATCTCGATGCCACGGCGAAGACGAGCCTTGGCCATGTAGGCCTTGATCTCGGGCAGCAAGTTGTGGTCGGTGGCATTCTCTCCGCTGAGCCACGGGTGGTGGAGGGCCTCCTGTTGGTGTTGTCAGTACTGATTTCTCGACTGCGGTGAACGTCTGGTACATACCTCACTCGACCAGCGCTTGACGGGCTCTGGTTGCAGAAGATGCAAAATGAAATCCTTTGCATCATCACTGACATCCTTCCAGTAACGCTCGTGGAAGACGACCTGGGCATTACTGCACTCGTCGATGAGATCCTGAAGGTTCTCTGAGCGGAAAGGAGAGTAACCGCAAAGCAGAGTGTATGTGATGACACCCATGGACCACATATCTACCGGCTTGCCATGGCCCTTCTTCAGCATGACCTCAGGGGCTGCGTATCCGAAAGAACCGGCCATTGTTGTGAGGACTTCGTCTTTGCGGTCGAGCATCTTTGCAATACCGAAGTCGGCCAAGACGAGATCGGACTCGGGTTCCCTGGTCAGGTACAGCAGGTTCTCGGGCTTCAAATCTGGTCTACTTGTTAGAGAGGCAAGAGCGCTCATGTTATAAATGTAAACTTGCCTCTATGTACGACGTTGTTCTGGTGCAGGTAGTTGACGGCTTCGAGGACCTGCTTGATGGTTTGCGAAGCATCTTTCTCTGTGAACTTGCCCTGCTCGCAAATACGATCGAACAGCTCTCCGCCCGTAGCTAGTTCAGTGACGATGTAGTATTTGTCCTGCAAGAAAGCTATCAGCTTTGACAGTCCAGGCATGGCTCCGTAGCAGGATGTTACTCACACGCGACTCAAACCAGTCAACGAACTTGACAATGTGGGAGTGCTTGAGACGCTGGAGCATGTCCAGCTCATCGTAGACCATTCTCTCGTTGCCCTTCACATTCTTCTTGAGAATAATCTTGACGGCACACTTGCCAGTAGGACCGTCAGCCTCACGGACGATACCGTAGGTTCCAGCTCCGAGGGTGCGGCCGAAGCGGTATTTAGCCCTGTAAAGAGGACGTCAGGATATAATATTCAGATGTTGGTCTGGGATTGTTCGTACTTCTTATCGTAGCTCTCGGGTTGGCCCTGAAGCCTGCTGAGCATGTTGGAGACTATATGCGAGTGTGCGGTCAGCATTGATTGTGGATTGGGAGCAGTAAGACGAGAGAAATGTTGCGCGAGGCAGTCATGTTCGCAACAACGGAAGAACATGACAACGGCCTCGCAAGACCACAGAAGAACAGTATGATCCAACAACTTACAACTCATTTTTTTCGGGAGGGGTTATCGGTCGCAGCGAGTGTTGTGTGTGTGTGGAATAATCGGACAGACACAGCCTTGGGTGATGATGGGATCGAAACGAAGCGGGCGTCAGCGGTGGGAATGCAAACGACGTTTATGAGGGAGGGCTTGAGGCTGGCGTTAGGTCGGGAGTAGAAAAATCGAGCAGAAGAAGGCTCGACCCTGGACAGGACAGAGAAGCAGCGTTGCTGATGGAGACTTCCCAGGTAGACTGGACGGGATTCGGGAGGGGGGGTCGAGTCGGGGTGCTGATAGCTCTTGGTGCTTAGGTTGAAGGGGGGAAGGTGGGGTAAAGCGGGAAGTAAGAGCGCGAGAGGGTGCCTTTTAGGTGAGCTTCACAAGCAAGAGGCAGTCTTGGATACAAGCACCTTGTCAACGTAAGGTAGGTATATATGTAATGGGGGTACTCTACATCCCCATGCCAGAGGTAACGGCTCTTAAGGTAGATAAAGACATTTGGGGTCTTGGGCTGCGTCTATCTGTAGAGAGTAGGTACTAAGTCAAGGCTATGACACCTCCTGGAGGCAACCTAACCTTCAGGCTGTACAGCTCCAGCGTGTGCATAGAAAAACGAAAAAGGCGGTTCTACATGGCATCACAGGGAACAAGATTCAGGGGTCATGGCAGGCCGGAGTGAGCCTTGTGGGCTGGTAAGAATTGAAAAGGATGCTCAGCCGCAGAGAAATGAGGGGCAGGCCGCAGAAGAAGAGGGAGAGCACGGACATGGCCGTGAATGAGCGACGGCATCCACGAGCACTAACGATGACGGACAAGGGTCCTGGGAGGTCCTGGAGTGGATCGCCGTATCCTGAACGATCAAACGACTGGAGCATGGAGCAGTGGAGGCCACACTGAGGACGGAATGTGAGGATGAGGGAACCGGGAAAGTGTGGCTGAGGAGGAGGCCGCTCTTCAGCACTTGCTGTGCTGAGTCCTCCACCGGCACCCTCCACGCTGGCTGTGACAGGCATTGATTCTCACCTCCATGCTCCAACGCATTGGGTTTGCTGGGTCGTAAGGCTGGACCTCCGATTCGATCTGGTGGCAACGGCATCTTTAGACAAAGATGAACCCATTTCCTCGACCTTAAGTGGACGAGATATCCCGTATCTGGTACCCGATTGGCCGACAACCGCAGTGCCGATGGCTACCTCCTATAAACATCATCCTCAATTCATAGGTGAACCGATGCTCAGTAATGTCTGCCTTGGTCTATAGTCTAGATGTAGATATCAAACCCCCCTCGCATGGTTAGCAAAGCTTTATTGGTCAACTGACAATGACAGGCTGAGTGTTTGAGTCTGCCTGGGTAATGCAACGGATTTCACGACAGGGAATAATTCAGACTGAGGGAAGTTTGACGACTGGAAACAGTCCAGTGCATCAGATACGGCAACCTATGCATTTGACCTTCCAGAAGAAAAGTGATATTTGGCTGACTTAGCCGCCATACCCCCAGAGATTGCGTGTGACACATGAATGCAGGCCGCGTCTGAAAGTACATGTTTTGGGTGCGATTAACATCCATCATTGCAGAGCATAGTTGTCTTTCTACTTCGTACATATATTCCTAAAAAATAGAAAGATTGATAATGACAGAGATCTGACCAGGTACCTTACGCGAGGCCATGCCAGGCTGTTGATGATAAGACCACACGATGAATGCAAGGTATACCTTTGCTAAGGTACCTTAGGTAGGCTGTCCCTCGCGTTCTTGTTCTTCAAAGAGGTAAAGCTTTTTGGGTTGTCACTGGCATCAAGTAAAGTGGACCCGCCGGGCCTGCGACCGGGTTACAGCACGCGCATTCGCATCGGTCTAAGATGCATTGAGCCGCCGCCAATCCTCCCCTACGGCGTCATTTGCACCTTGAAAGTCTTAGGTAAGGCGTTCCAGCTTTCCAGGTTGCTCACTTTCCCTCCCGTCTCTCTCTCCAACAATCCCGTCCACATGGCCTGAAGGTACTTTCTATCCGTACGCCGTACAGTCAACAAGAAAGCGCCTCAGTGCTACGTGCTACGTAAGGAGCCAAGTGCCACCGTCCACGCCTGTAACTCGTGGACCATCTCCAACACGCCCGCGTGTCTCGACATTGTTAGACCAACCAAGCTACTGAGGTTGCTGCGCATTTGCCTCTCTCACTCTCATTGTTGTGCACGTCTTGTCTTCCCGTCCTTGTTGATTTGCATCCGGCTTTCTTTCTATACCCCCAGGTTTAGAACTTCAGACCCTGGAAGTTGGCTTCCGGATCGGCTGCTTCCCACATTCCTAGACAACTTTTGGCTGCTGTTCTCGGCAGGAACCACCAATTCGTGGGGTCCTCCTCTCTGGGCAGCCCCTCCAAGCGACCAACAAGCCCCTCAGCAAGCCGGAAGCCGCAACCTGCCTGCCTTGCCTGGGTTGCTTCTCGAGCCGCCGACTGACATCTCCTCCTGCGCTCAACCTTTCCCTTTTCCTTCCGTCGAGCCTTCTTCGCCTGGGCTTCATCCTTCTCCAGGCCACTTGATTGCGCTTCAAAATGGCTTCCAGCTTTGCTTCCAAGCGGCTGGCCAAAGAGTTGTCCAAGGTTCGTTACTTCGCATCCAGCTCGCTACCTCACCCTGTCCCGTGATCGAACCATTTGCACATTGTCGCATTGTGCGCTCTCGCGCTCGCGCTTGTGTTATGAACATTTCTAACTCTCACAGCTCAACTCTGGCCTGCCCCCCGGTATCGAACTCATTTCGGCCGACAACTTCGAAGAATGGATCATGGACATCAAAGTCTTGGACGACAACCCGCTATACAAAGACCAGGTTTACAGGCTGAAATTCAAGTTCTCGCAACAATATCCCATAGGTACGCCTCTCTACACATGCCAGCTACTCAGTACCTCCCCAAGTAACATGATCCGGTCTATAGAACCCCCAGAGGTTACCTTCGTCAAGACCACCGAGCGACCGATTCCCATGCACCCTCATATCTACTCCAATGGCATCATCTGTCTCGATCTTCTTGGCAGTCAAGGCTGGAGTCCTGTACAGAACGTCGAGAGCGTCTGCATGAGCATACAGAGCATGTTAACAGGCAACGAAAAAAACGAGCGACCGGCGGGAGATGACGAGTTCGTTCGGAGCAATCGCTTGCGCCCTAGAGATATCGACTTCTACTATCACGATAACACCGTTTGAACAACACAAGACATTTGTGCGACAGGTTTGGGTATGGCGTTGTATCGGATTTCAGCATACAAATAGGGAATCCCAGTACAAGCAGAGTATTCAGGCGTTGATGCTCTGCTGAGGGGAAGAAGAAGAGGTGACCAACACGGTTCTTGGCCCTCTTCAGCTTTCGTGGAGCGAGATCTCGAAAAGGATCGGCCGGGAAAATTGTGTCACGAGCGGGATCGCAGCCTCTCCAGAGGACGGTATTTACACCCATGTTGATGGCGGTAGGATGAGCAGATTTACCTTTTTTTTTTTTTTTTTTTTTTTTTTTTGCCAAGTAAGGTATACATCCTAGGTGACGCCTACTGCGCATCATATCAGCAAGTAGACCGTATTTCAAAGCATTCATGCTGCAAGTGTGCAGGAAAAAGCCGTCGCGGCCAGCAATTGCGAAGTAGTGTCTCAAGAAACTGGAAACATTTCCAGGATGAGACATCCATCGATGGGATGCATGTAGCGCTGAGAGCGGGCCGGATACAGCGACTGACCCCCACTGATCCGGCATGGAATTCCCCGAGAGAGCACCTGCACTGTCGTACCTAAATCACCCTGGCGGCCTGGCCCCGCTGACGCAAATGCTCTCTGTGAGATGTCCCGTGCCGTAGCCAATCTAATCTCTCAACCCGATAGCTCCAAACGTCAGGCGCTTTGCTACCGCAGCTTTCCGTCACCTTTCCATCTACTTTACCCCGACCACGTCACCCCATCCAGCAGCGGTCAGTCTGCGCTCCACGAATACTCGAGTTTTAACTGTATGGAGAATTGAAGATGGCTCCTCGAGCTGGCTTCAGTACGGACCAGATAAAGGACAAAGCGCGCAAGGACCTCCTTTACCTGCTCGAGGCTGTAAGTAAGGCATTTCGAGCTTGCTGCTTGTCCTCCGTGAGTTAACCTCGGCGTATTCAGGTTCGCGGAAAGAAGAACCTCATTCTTGAGCGCAGCTTAGCAGGCCCGATCAGTACCATCGTCAAGGTCGCTACCCTACAGGAATACGGCGTAGACAAGTTCTTCTTCCTCGAGAACAAGAACGCCGACACCAGTCAGCGAAATGTCATCTTCATAGCACGCGGCGAGTGCGCTCGCCATGCGTCAGCCATAGCAGGTCAGCTCCTTTCACTATCCGAGTCCCATAACCTTTTACAGTTCCCATCGGGATTCTACGAAGACTACTGAGCTTGCTCGCGCATCCGTCATTTGCGGTCTGTTGGGATAGACATTGCATGATGGACATGCTTGTTGCGATCGATCTCCAAGCTGCTGCGTGAGCCGCACTTCATACTAACAACCTCTCAGAGCAAATCCGTCGTCTACAGCGAGAAAGCCAAACAGGTCATGAGTACCACATCTTCTGGGTTCCTCGACGGACACTCGTCTCGGACAAGTTGCTCGAGGAGGCTGGCGTCTTGGGCGATGTGAACATCTCTGAACTGCCTTTATACTTCTTTCCACTTGAGAAGGATCTTCTCTCCCTCGAGCTGGATGAATCTTTCCGCGACCTGTATCTCTCGAAAGACGTCACACCGTCATTCCTGCTCGCCAAGGCCCTGATGGAGATCCAACAGAACCACGGCTTGTTTCCCCGAATCATCGGCAAAGGCGATAACGCAAAACGAGTTGCCGAGCTTCTGGCACGAATGCGACAAGAGATACTTGCGGGCGAGGATGCGAACGAAACGAATCGAGGCGGCTTGACACCAAGCACACTTACCGAAAGTGTCATAATAATCGACCGCGAAGTGGACTTTGTCACCCCTCTGTTAACTCAACTGACCTACGAGGGACTCATCGACGAAGTATTCGGCATTCAGAACAACCAAGCCGAAGTTGATACAACAGTTGTTGGGGCGCCTTCTCAATCCTCAGCGACGAGCGCGCAAGCTAGGAAACGAAAAATTCAGCTGGATTCCTCTGACAAATTATATGAGCAACTTCGCGACACGAATTTCGCCATCGTCGGTAGCTTGCTGAACAAAGTCGCCCGCCGACTCCAGAATCTACAGAAAGACTATGAAGGAAGAAACAGCCACAAATCCATCGCCGAGCTCAAAGATTTTGTCAGTAAGCTGCCCGGATATCAAGCGGAGCAGCAAAGTCTGCGCATACACACGGGCTTGGCAGAGGAGGTCATGAAGTACACACGTACGGACCAATTCAAGGGTCTCTTGGAAGCGCAGCAGAATCTTGCTGCTGGCGCGGACCCTTCTTCACAATTCGAAGCAATTGAGGAACTAATCGCTCGCGATACACCGCTACCGGAAGTACTGAGGCTGCTTTGCATTTACTCATGCATTTCAGGCGGCATCAAACCGAAGGAATTCGACCAGTTCCGACGGCTTATCCTTGAGGGCTACGGCTATCAACACATCCTCACTCTAAACAACCTCGAGAAGCTCCAATTGTTCTTGTCACGCTCTTCTCCATTGGCGGAAATGATCCCGATGACTGGTTCTGGTGGCAACACAACAGGGACAAAGACGAATTATACGTATCTCCGCAAACTTCTGCGTCTCATCGTCGACGAAGTTCAGGAAGACGATCCAAACGATATCGCATATGTATACAGCGGGTATGCACCCCTGTCGATTCGTCTCGTTCAATGTGTGCTCCAAAAGCAGTATCTGCTCAAGGTCACCAGAGGAAATGGTGTGAGTGGTGCGACCGGAGGGTCCGCAGCACAGGGCTGGCACGGGTTCGACGAAGCTGTAAAGCACGTCCGCGGGCAGACATTCTACGAGCTGCAAAAGGGCGAAGAGAAGGCCGTCAAAGCTCGCGCACTGCTGTCGGGAGGTACAGAGAAGCAAACAGTATTCGTGGTGTTCGTCGGAGGCATAACATTCACCGAAATCGCTGCTTTGCGGTTCATTGCAAAGCAGGAAGAAGGTATTTGCCCTTGTTTGTCCCATCTCGTAAAGCATTGCCAAACTGACCGACGTCAAACGTAGCCCGGAGAAACATCGTCATCTGCACGACATCGATCATTAGCGGAGACCGAATGATGGATGCTGCGATTGAGAAGGATTCGTTTGCAAGAGATAATGTTAAGCCAGTGAGCCCAACTGCATGAGGGTCTGGGGTAGAAGACTTGGTAGGGCCGAGAGACGGGAACGCCATATTCGGCATTTGAAAGATACGACCAACATACAGATAATAAGCTTCTCATAAAGAAGCGTTTTCAAATTAGAAGTAGGCATCATTGCCCGTCATGTCAATACTTGTTGCTGAACGGCAGTCTGGCCTCTCGAGTCAGTGCCTTCCCACAGTGGTGTCGCCGGTTTTGGCTCGGGCCTGCAGTCAGCCCGCACAGCACTGTCCAGCGTCGGGTGGCTTGCCAGTGACCGGAGCGCAGGCCCATCACGTGACCCACCTTTTTTGTCTCGAACGCTGGAGCTCCTCATGTCCAATGCCGAACCTAGCGATTTCAACGGGTCATGTATCTGACGACTTCCCTTAATGTCCTGATTACTATTGTTTCCTCGACATAGTTGTCTGAAACAATAGACTGAGTTGTTTGCGACTCAACGGGTGCTTTCTGAGTATACCGCGACTTGACCTGCATCGGGACGGTTCATTCAACCACCGAAGACGGGACAGTGCCCTGCAGCCGGGGCAAGTGGCGTCTCCGCAGTCAAAAGGTAGGTACATCCGCATCTGCCTCGTCTTATATCGACTGCTACAAGTTTGAGAACTCAAATCAGCTGACAAGTCTTACACAGTGAGACTATCCAGGTTCACCTGAGATATCGTAATATGTTATCGACTTGGGACTAATCCCGCCATATAACACCCTGGTCGGGATTCAGACTGAGCAGATTTCATCACCGACCATCCGCCTCCACCAACATATATCCTTCATTGATCCCCGAGTCCAATTCGGTTCAACGGCTGAAATATGAGAAGCAGTCCGAGGTCCCGGGTTAAGCAGGAACCAGGGTTTGGGAAGGGATCATTGATGGATTTTGCGGATCGGAACTCACGTATATCAGACTTCACGCCTTCCAGGGCCAGTGCGATGCTAAGTCGGATATCGACCTCACATCTATCAGATTCGACGACACCAACACCGTCAAGTCGAATCTCGTCAGAAGCAGTTTCAGAAATTGCACCAGAAATCGTTGTGTGGACAGAAGACATGGACATGGACCTGGATGACTCAAGCCAGGATGAGGCGGGACATCTCTCCGGCCCAATATCGGAAGCTGAGTAGGTAATACCCTACGGCGCGTTCAAAGTGATATATTGGCTTTGTAGGATAAGTTTTGGGAGACTCGCGATCAGGTTTAGCTGACCATTAATCAGTTCACCAATAGCCGAAGACGCGGCTGCTCCGTTAGAGACCCTCCGCATCCAGTCATACGATACCCCTCACGAATCTTTCGAGTCTCCGATGACCAACTTATCTGATCACGATCAGTCTGAGCTTTCATCGGTACCATCGTCAGTGTCTAGTAAGGCAACGACCCCTGTAGACCTAGACGGGCATACGGAACTGTCTATACCATCGGCAGAGACCCCTCCGATACGCGAGGCATTACGGCAGACCTTCGATGTAAAGCCGAAATCATCCATACCCTCGAATCTCTCAAGCTTTGAATATGCAAGGCAATGCATAGAAGCAGCCGAGTCATCGAGACTAAACCCGTATGCGCTGCACCAGGAAGAATATCAGATGCTGCGACAGCACATCAGCCATGTTCAAGTCACCACGTATCTAAATATCAGAAACGGCATACTCCGGCTCTGGTATAATAATCCACGTGTTGCAGTGACAAGGAATGAAGCGGTCGGCTGCGCTGGTGCCAGATGGGTTGACGTCGCAAGCATATGTTACGATTGGCTGCTACGACGTGGCTACGTCAACTTTGGTTGTGTAGAGTTCCCAGCGACGAGCGATCGATCCGAAGAGGACGTAGAAGAAGAAGTCCCACTCAACAAGAAGAAGATTGTGATTATCGGTGCTGGTATGTCAGGCTTGGGCTGCGCCAGACATTTGGACGGCTTGATACGGCAGTACGAGGATCGTTTCCGGGCGCTCGGAGAACCAGTACCTGAGATTGTGGTGCTAGAGGGGCGCGGGCGAGTGGGTGGAAGGGTCTACTCAAGGGAGTTCAAAACGAAACCGACATTACCCTTGCCCGACTTTGACGGGACACGATTCACCGCCGAAATGGGCGGGATGATCATCACTGGCTTCGAACGCGGCAACCCGATGAACGTTCTCGTGCGTGCGCAATTGTGCCTCCCATACCGTGCCCTGAGATCGGAAACGACAATTTACGATTCTAATGGCAAGCCGGTGGACTTTGTGAGGGACCAGCTCGTAGAAAGGCTCTACAATGACTGTTTGGATCGTGTCAGCGAATACAAGTTCAAGTCACAGCCCACTAAGCTCATCGAAGGCAACCGAGACTTGATCGACGATGCGCGAGATGCTGTGAGTGACGGCCACCGAACAATTCACCAGGCCGAGGAAGCGGTGGCGGCTCTCCCACATGCACCGTCCGTTTCGCAGCAAAACGTTCCGGAACGAGTAAACTTGGTGCCGGTCTCGTCAGATAAGCTTACTGGCCGCGTCCATACTCAACCTGGCACTCCAGGTGTTCTCAAGGCCACTGAGAAAGCCCAGACAATGGGGTGGACGTTGAAGACCGGCTTGGCAAATGACGCCAATATTGATCTAAACGAAGCCGTGGCTTTGCCAACGGCGACGCTGGGTTCGGTGATGGACGAGGCCGTTCTCCAATATCGCAGTATTGTGGATCTGACTGCCCAAGATCACCGTCTCATCAACTGGCACGTCGCGAACCTGGAATACAGCAACGCTACAAATCTCCATAATCTCAGTCTTGGTGGCTGGGACATTGATGCTGGCAATGAGTGGGAAGGTAAGCACACCATGATTGTTGGTGGCTACCAGAGCGTTCCCCGAGGTCTCATGTACTGCCCTACGCCTCTCGACGTCCGCTCGAAATCTGCTGTCAAGAAGATCACCTATCAGCCACAGAACAAAGGGCGTGCCTCGGTTGAGTGCGAGGACGGGACATCAATTGATGCAGACTACGTCGTATCGACGATACCTCTAGGGGTTCTGAAGCACGGTAATGTGGCATTCGACCCGCCATTGCCCGAGTGGAAGACGGAAGCAGTCACTCGTATAGGATACGGAGTACTCAACAAGCTCGTGCTCGTCTACGAGCAACCATTCTGGGATACGCAAAGGCACATATTTGGCGTTTTGCGAGACGCTGCGAACCGCCATAGCCTGAACCAAAGCGACTACGGCCCTTCACGAGGTCGCTTGTTCCAGTGGTTCAACGTCACGCAGACCACAGGTATTCCGTGCCTGGTGGCCCTTATGGCCGGCGACGCCGGGTTCGATACGGAGCACAGCAGCAACGAGGACCTCATCGCCGAGGCGACAGAGGTCCTGCGCAGCGTCTTCGGTCCCAGCGTGCCTTTTCCCGCCGAATCGGTCGTCACTCGCTGGGCCTCGGACAGGTTCGCCAGAGGAAGCTACTCCTCAGCCGGACCGGAGATGCACCCGAACGACTACGACGCCATGGCGCGCCCCATCGGCAATCTCTTCTTCGCTGGTGAGCACACGATCGGCACCCACCCGGCCACCGTCCACGGAGCCTACCTTTCGGGACTACGCGCCGCGTCAGAGGTTCTCGAGTCGATGCTCGGCCCGATCGAGGTGCTGACACCCCTCGTCCGACGGAAAGGAAACAACAACGTGTCCAATAAGCGGAAAGAGATGGAAGGCCCTAGGGACCCGGAACAAGCCCGCCTGGAAGCCTACGAGCTCTCCGCCTGGGAACACACCAGATCCAAAATCGGCGAGCGGCCCCTTCGCCCGGCCAAGGTAGCCGCCAACGCCTACCTCCTCTACAGCCGAGCCTTTTTCGAGGTCGCGCGCACGCGGTGCGAGGAGGAGCGAGCGGCGCACGCGGCCAGCGGCAACGGCAAGAAGAAGACTGCGCCGAACGAGGTGCGCGTCATGACGTCCAAGATGTGGCGGGCCGCCTCCGTGGAGGAGAGGAAGCCTTTCGAAGACGAGGCCGCCGCGCAGAAGACGGCGTACGCCGAGGCCATGAAGCAGTATGAGGAAACGTCGGCGCGGTGGGATAAGGAGTACGTTGAGACCATGGGCGCGTATCATCGGGAGCATCCGTACGTGCCTCTCCAGCAGAACGGACAGAACGGAGGAGGAAGCAGCAGCGGTAATAGTTATAGTGCTGCTACGGCGCGGCAGCGGGAGATAAGTGCGCAAAAGTACCGCAGGACTAAGCATATCAGCTACGCCGAAAGTGACGGCAGCGAGATGGAGTTTTGACGGTTGTTCTTTTTACTCGACGAGGCGCGGTGAGATGAAGGGGGTGTTTGATTTCTTACCATGGGGTTTCTATACATGGGGGTTTGGGCCGTTTCTTGTTCTACTATAAACGGTTTGCATGACTGGCAAGCAAGGGTGCATTCGAGGGGGGGGACTGTGGTGGCGGATGTCTGTTGTCTTTCTGCTTCATGTTTAATGTGGCGTCGAGGAGTTCTGCATACCCCCATACATGTCATATTTGCTCTTGTTGAAACTTGAAGAGGTTGTCATAGAACCGACTTCTTCGAGTTCCGCACAGTAATTACTGTAGCTTCCGCACATAAAGCATTCGAACAAAGTGTATACAGCAATGGCAAACGTTGTATCAACGGCACAGATTCTCAGATGTCGGGTTATAAATAGATGAAAATAACCGATCCATTTTCTAGATCAGGATGTATTCGCGAGGATTTGGTACACTGAGGGCTAAACTAGCCGCCCTTGGTAGCTTGATACAAAGGGAAGAGAGGTAATAATCATCTCTATCTGATGCGATGTGCGCGCGCTTTTTCCAAAACCCGCTTTACATGTCCTCGGAGGCAGTGGCACCAGTGATAATCTCAACCAGCTCTCCGGTAATGACGGCTTGACGGGTACGGTTGAACAGAATCTGGTACTTGTTGATCATCTCACCAGCGTTCTTGGAGGCATTCTATCATGGTGTGTCAGTCTGAAGCTGCTTTTGCGGGGGGGAAACAAGGATGTCAAGGAGGGTTACGTACGTCCATGGCGTTTCTACGGGCAGAGATCTCGCAGGCGTGACCCTCGGCCAGAGCCCAGTAGATGGAGTTGGCAAGGGCGTACTCGCGGAGGTTGGGGATGAGCTCCTCATCGACCTCGAAGGCGGAGAAGTTGGCTTGAATCCAGTGTTAGTTCAACTCACACGATATCTCGTTCCGTTTCGTGTCGAGGGTAGCTTACGGGACTGGGTGATGGCCTCCTCGGAAAATGCCTCAATAGTGACAGGCTCGTAGCTGGTGGCGTTGATGAACTTGTTGTGGAGGATCTTGATGGAGGAGTAGTCGCCAGCGAGCTGAACGATCTGGTCGGCGATGGCAGAGGCATCAGCAAAGGTGGGGACGTCCTTGCCGACGCCGGCGAAGGAGAGACGGATGTCCTTGGCGTTGGTGCGCTGAAGCTGGGCCTTGCACTTCTCGCCGAGGATGACGAGGTCGGCGGTGGCGTTCTTCTCGGCGAACTCGCGGCGGATGGTACGGGAGAGACCAGAGTGAATACCACCGCAGAGGCCCTTGTCGGAGGAGCAGATGATGATGAGCTCTCTCTTGGCCTCACCCTCGAGGGGCTTGGTCTCGGCGGAGTTGAAGACCTCGTTGGAGGTGGCACCGTAGACGCGGGAGTCGGACATGGCCTTCTGGGCGCGGTTGAGCTTGGTCGAGGCGACAATCTTCATCGTCTTGGTGATCTTCTCGATGTTGCGAATGGACTTGAGGCGGCCTTCGATTTCACGGAGGGTCGCGAAGTTGGCAGCGTTGGTGGGCGCGCTGGCCGTAACTCTGGAAACGCCGCATAATCAGCATGACAGCTCTTATCTTTTTCCTTCACTCGCTTTCTCTCTCTCTCTCTCGTTTGTTCAATTGGTATCGTTCCCAGTATGTTTCTCATGTTCCGTCCTCTTGCATCGTCGATGGCCGACTGTCGGCATTCGTCTGACGTGCTGTCCCTTTCCTCCGATTTTCCGAGCTCAGGAAGGTGTGGATTCCGACTTACCGCGAGGGAGCCGCAGCTGCAGCTCGCAGAGCTGGTCTCGCCGCCCGGGAAAGCATTGTGAAGTTTGAGATATTAAGAAGATCGAGCCTCTGCCGTTTGTGGGGATCAATTGACCACGACCGATTTCGAGATCAATTGAGGCTGTCGGACGGTGCTTCGGGATAGCGAGATTGGTAGGTTCGAGGTTATTTTCCTCCCCGGCTAGCAGTCTTCGCACCCGACTCCATCCATCTCGTTTTCCCGGCTAACTGAGTTTGACCGGGAGCCGGGTGGCTCATGATAGTCACGTGCAGGAGCAGCTGTGGCGCAGGCATTGGATTGGTTCAGGCCTTCTTCTGTCAGTCTGTCCTGGCAGCACCTGCCACCCGCTTACCTGTGCCTACCCACCTTACTCCGTACCTTACCCGGGCTTACCTAGACAGTTAGACTCCTAGGGGCAGCCCCATTAAGTTTCGCTCGTAGCTAGAAGGTCTTCGACGCTTTTCCCACCCCCGGCCTTCTTTTCTCGTTCCCTCGATCCCTCGAAAAAAAAACCTCGTCTTCCCTTTCGATTCGCAAAGACGTGGGTGTCCTTTCCTACGTCTTCCAACACATCAAGTGGCGGCCTTTTCAACCATCCGGCTTTTGCCTCTATATCTACGCGATTCTTCCGCGCGGATCGGTTTCTACAACAACTTTTTCTGCTCCACCAAGCCCCGGTTTTGGACTTTGCGATTCAGTTCTTACTTAACCGTCCGTAAACGTCGCGAACCGAGACCTTTTCCCACCATGAGTTCCTCAGACGACGACGCACCTCTTGCGAGGTCGAACGGACATAGTAAGTACGCTAAGAAACATAAACTTTTGCGCTTTCGGACGCTTTACCCTTCGCGCCTGCCACTTTACGCCCGACGTGTCACTTTTTTCCCTCCTCTCGCCCCAGCGAACGCACCTGACTCGTCGCGTACTTCCTGCATCCCGATTTTGCCTACGAAACCAAAAGAAAACTTAACAGCTTTCTAACCTGATTAACGACAGTCTCTGCATCGAGGATATCGAAAGCCGACGACATCGCCATGGATAGAACCGCCTCCAAGGCACGAGCGGCCCCGCCGGGTCTCTCCATCCGCAACGGACCTATCGAGGACGACGATGCGATGGATGTCGATGGCCCATCGACGAACGGGAAGCGCAAGTCTCGTTCGTCCTTGCCCAAGGTCAATTACAAGGATGAAACCGAAGATAGTGACGACGATGCTCCTTTGGTAGGTTACACATGGCAGGCAGACGGTGGCGGAGTCCGAGGCTGACGGCGACCCTTAGGCCAAGCGACAAAAGACCAAGGTCAAGGCACCAGAAACAGATTCAGATGACGAACCCCTCACTGCGAAGAGGGGCAAGAACCTGCCTCCTTCGTACAGGGAGACAGCTTTACCCGACGAATCCTCCGATGATGACCAGCCATTGGGCGCCAGGCTCGCGCAAAAGAAGGCGGACATTGAAAAGGCAGCCGCCAAGGAGGCTCGCAGTATTCGTGCCAGCGAGGCCAAGGCAAAGAAGGCAACCCCGAAGAAGGCGAAGAAGGAAGAGTCTTCCGACGACGATGTGCCTTTAGCCAGGTCGGGAGCGAAGAAGCGCCAATCGAATGGTGCCAGAAAGTCAAATGGAGTCAAAGCAGAATCGGATTCCGATGTGCCCATCGCAAGAAAGGCTGCAGCGAAGAAGGCGACCCCGGCCAAGGCCACGGCAGCAAAGGGCAAGGCTGCCGCGGCACCAGCCAAAAAGGGTGTGAAGGCTAAGGCGGAAAGCGAGGCTCCTGAAGACGAGGAGGAGGAAGAGTACGAGTGGTGGAACGCCCCTAAGAAGGAGGACGACAGCGTCAAGTGGAAAACCTTGGAGCACAACGGCGTCATGTTCCCACCCGAGTACCAGGCCCTACCCAAGAACGTCAGACTTCTCTACGATGGCAAGCCGGTCAACCTGCCTGTCGAAGCCGAGGAAGTTGCCTGTTTCTTCGGAGCGATGCTGAACTCCAAACACAACGTCGACAACCCTGTCTTCCAGAAGAACTTCTTTGACGATTTCAAGGCCGTCCTCAAGGAGTCAGGCCAAGCAACCGACAAGCAAGGCAACAAGGTCGACATCAAGGATTTCATGAAGATGGACTTCGAGCCCATCTTCAATTACTACGAACAACAGAGCGCCATCAGAAAGAACCGGACAGCTGCAGAGAAGAAGGCAATCAAGGCTGAGAAGGATGAGACAGAAGCTCCCTTCATGTACTGCAAGTGGGATGGCCGCAAGGAAAAGGTTGGCAACTTCCGCGTTGAACCTCCAAGTCTATTCCGCGGCCGCGGCGAGCACCCCAAGACTGGAAAGCTCAAGAAGCGAGTGTATCCTGAGCAGATTACCATCAACATTGGCAAGGACGCCAAGGTTCCGGAACCACCCAAGGGTCACAAGTGGAAGGCCGTCGTTCATGACAACAAGGCTACTTGGTTGGCTATGTGGCAGGAGAACATCAATGGTGCATACAAATACGTGATGCTCGGCGCTGCCAGTGCAATCAAGGGTCAGAGCGACATGAAGAAGTTCGAAAAGGCAAGAGAACTCAAGAAGCACATCGACAAGATTCGCAGAGATTACACAAAGGATCTTAAGAGTGAGGTCATGGCGGACCGACAGAGAGCCACGGCCGTGTACCTGATCGACAAGTTTGCTCTCAGAGCTGGCAACGAGAAAGACTCTGAGAACGAAGCCGAGACCGTCGGTTGCTGTTCCCTCAAGTATGAGCACATCACCCTGCGCGAGCCCAACACTGTCATCTTCGATTTCCTCGGAAAAGACAGTATTCGATTCTACGACGAGGTCACTGTTGAGAAGCAGGTTTTCAAGAACTTGAAGCTCTTCAAGAAGCCGCCCAAGACCGACGGGGACGACATTTTCGACCGCCTGACCACTACCCAGCTGAACAACCATCTCAAGAACTATATGCCAGGACTGACGGCGAAGGTCTTCCGTACCTACAACGCGTCCTTCACGATGTCCACTCTCCTCCAGAAGCTGGTCGATCACAAGAACCTGACAATTGCGGAGAAGGTGAAGCTCTATAACGACTGCAACCGTGAGGTAGCCATTCTTTGCAACCACAAGCGCACTGTCGGAGCTGCCCACGAGGCGCAAATGGAGAAGCTCGGTGATCGTATCAAGGGTCTCCGGTATCAGCAATGGCGCACAAAGCAGATGATGCTTCAGATCGATAACAAGGTGAAGAAGAAGAAGGGTGCCGACTACTTTGCTCGTCCGGAAGAGTTGACCGACGAGTGGATTCTCGAGCACCAGAAGTTCCTGGTGGAAGAGCAGCGCACCAAGATTGAGAAGAAATTCCAGAAGGATAACGAGAAACGCCTGGCCGATGGCGAGAAGCCGTTCCCCGATAAGGAGCGTAAGGAGCGCCTTAAGGCTGCGGACGAACTCGCCGCCAAGTTTAAGAAAGAGAACAAGTCCAAGAAGGTCGAGCCGGAAGGCCGAGGCCCTACGGTTGAGAAGCTCGTTGAGCAGGCCAAGAAGATTGATGACAGAGTCAAGACTTTGGAGCTCCAGGCCGCTGATCGCGATGGCAACAAGGAGGTTGCCTTGAGCACCTCCAAGATCGTAAGTTGTTCGCCTAGTTGACATGGCTTCCAAGCTAACGTATTCCAGAACTACATTGATCCTCGCCTTACGGTTGTCTTTGCCAAGAAGTTTGACGTTCCTATTGAGAAGTTCTTTTCCAAGACCCTGCGCGAGAAGTTCAGTTGGGCCATCAAGTCTGTTGAGGATGATGACTGGGAGTTCTGATCACGTTCTTTTCAGGATTCCAGTTGTTTGCCAAACCAACCCATCGTACCTCATCATTTTTACTGTATTTGTTTGTTTGTACCAAAAGCATTTTTATTTCAGCATTCGACCCAGGCCAGGGAGTCCTGCCACTTAGGGACCACTCCGCACGATGGCCCGATTCAGTATCTGGACAAGATACTCAGTACGGCAAGGAGAAAAGGTATATATGAGCTGCGGTTGAGAGCACGAGGAAGTGCCAATGCATACAGCGAAGGGGGGGTTGCCAACTAAAGAGATAAAACGGAGCTTTCGTAGAGAACGGTGATCTGGGGGCCTTGGTCCGCCGGTCGCGCTTCCTTGCTATAGAGCCACAACCAGGCCACAGCAGACTAGACTAGCTTAGTTAATTAAAATAACAGCGAATTCAATCACTATGTGTTGTCTTGTACATGTGATGTCAAGCTATAACATGCTGCTTGGCCATAAACGGGGATTCGGCTTAGCTTGTGTTCATTGCCTACGGGAACGCAGGTAAAGAGCTCCTGTGGTGTACCGGCCTATTGTCCGAGACAGCAAAATGGGACCATTTCCAAGATGGTTGTTGTGGGCGTAGGTCTGGAGCCGGTTGGGAGTCGACATCCAAGGAAGCCAATGTCATAAAGTCACCCAGTGTACGACATACGAAAACGGAAATGACTTATGCGATACACTTGGTCCAAATTCGCCTCCACAAAACGAAACAGATGATGATAAATGAGAGAGGCCCTGTTTGAGATTTACGAGTGCCATGAAGACAAACGTCAAAAGGAAACAGGAAAAATAATCGACGTTGGCCTGATTCGAACAGACGCTCCCGAAGGAACATGATTTCTAGTCATGCGCATTAGACCACTCTGCCACAACGCCGGTTGAAGATTTCGGACGCTGACATTGTACAACAAGCCTAGTTCAAGCGACCCACTCAATGGACCTGCTCAATTGGTCTGCTCCGCACTGCGAAGAGAGATCACGTTGAAGGGCATTTTACTTTGGCAATTCGCTGATATTCGGTAACTCTTTACGTATAGTAAGGTACGCTGCGTCTATTCTATATACAATTCAAGTATTTGAGCGTTTCAATCCGATCCGATTCGTAACGCTTTCCCTTGATGCTCCCAAAAACGCCGTCCGATGCTGAGACCCTTTTTACAAGGTGAGTCGCCCGTTTTTCTAATGTCATATCCCCCAAAAGCCACCCAGAAAGCGGGAGAAATGGTCCCCCTTTACATGTTATCCATTACATCGTGTAAAACATCGACATCCTCTTTCCTTCTCAACAAATATTGCAAAAGAAAAACGAATATCGCAAAACACATACCCAGGTCGTAAAGGGGAACGGGGTATCATTGCATCCTTTCACCGCCCCATCAAAGCGAAAACACCAACGGCAAACGACACTACCAAGACCAAACACGAAGGACGCACCGAGTTCCCCGCGCCGTCGGGGATAATCTTGCCCTCGGAGGTCATGCGCCAGCCATCCGGCACAGAACCGCCCGTGGGTCGCGCGCTCGCAACCCAAGGCCACCCAGTCTGCGTCGCGGAAGCCGACTCGTCGGCGCCGATACCGCCGCGCGGCACCGTGGGCGCGGGGCTCCCCGTCTCGGCGGCCGCGCTGGCCGTGTAGGTGACCTGGCTCGCCTTGCCGAGGTTCCCGTTGACCTGGCCGTCGACGGCCTGGATGGAGCCCCAGTTGCCCGTGGTGTCGGTGTACTTGTACTCCTTGCCCGTCGAGTAATCCGTAATCGAGACGTCTTTGACGACCATGTGGAAGGGCCCCTTTGTGAAGTCCGTCGGTCCGCGGGCCCAGTCGATCGTGCCGGCGGCGTTGGCCGGGTCGCCGCCGGACCAGGAGCCGAATTTGACCTGCATGGGCGACTGCGGGTACTGATTCGTGTCGGCCTCGGCCTCAGTGAGTGTGCGGACGACGGTGCCGTCGACGGAGAAGACGATGCGCTCCGATGTCCAGTCGATGGTGTACGTCATGAAATTGTCCTGGTTGTTCTTGTCCGTTTGGTGGAACTGGCCGCGGTTGTACGTCGTCACGTCGCCCTTGCCAAAGTAGTTTGACTGCACCTCTGTCGGGTCGGCGCCGAGCCACTCCATGTCGATCTCGTCGAGGGTGTCGGACTGCAGGACGAGGGAGCTGACGATGCCGGCGCCGGTGGCGGCCTTGAGGGTGATCTCGACGCGGCCGAACATGATGTAGAAGAGGGACATGAGCTGTGGTGCCTGGCCCGAGGCGGCGACGCTGAAGGTGACGCCGTCGGAGCCGTAGGTTGGGTTTCCGGAGGCGGCGAAGGAGTTTACGGCGCCTTGGGTGAAGTCGACGTGGATGGCCATGCCGAGGGCTGTGTCGGCGGGGCATGAGGCTGAGGAGAGGGGAGGAAGAGGTTAGTATTGCTTGTTGATGGTATGGTGTGACGGCAGTTGAGACTTACTTTGTTGGAGGGGGTTACACGATGAATATGTCTGCGCTGACGCTGTTGTTGCCAACGCCGTCAGGCCGGCGACTATTCTTCTTGAGAAGAACATTGTGTCTTTTGAATGTGCGAGGGTTCCACTGCAGGCAGCTAGTAGAGGGGGAGGTTACTACAAGGCTCGGGAGGTCGAGAGTGAAGTCGCCGGGGCAAGAGAGGAAGATGGATAACTCAAGTCTCCTCCCACTTGAAGAGAATCTCCAAGTCGAACCACCGAAGAAAAAGAAAGAAAGAAAGAAAGAAAGCCCGCTGCGACCTGAAGCCAAGGCCCGTTGGGAGCTGGCGACGTCACAGGGAAAGAGCTGGAGACAAGGATCCGTGTAAGTCCGTGGCACGTCGCACTTGGGCAACACGAGGGGGTGGGACAGGAGTAAGCGTGAGGTACGGTAGGGAGAAAACTGGCGGCAGTCAGAACAAGGAAAAATTGTACATCACACGGGCGGGCCACGAAAGATGGCAGCGGCAGATGGTGTTATATGATATGAGCTGTGCTGCATAGTTCCCAATCATTTTCAATGTGCCCAGCCACTGGCAGCTGCAGTAGCGTCATCGGGCCGCGCAGGGCCCTTTCTTGCTCTTGGGTTCCAAGGATTCTTTCGGGCCTTGGGCCTTGGAAAATAGTCCAAGAGAATTCAACCCATGTGCCGCCTACGGTCTACCTACCAAAGAGGGTGTGGGGGGTGGAAATGAAGGGACAAGAACATCGAGAAGTTTTCCCATGTTTTTCCTGCGTTGGACGAACAGCAATCAATGGCCGTTGTTCCGCGGTGCCGCTACGTGGTGTTCCCTGTTCGTTGTCCGTCCAACTCGGATTGGCTGCCCTGGAAAGAAAGTTGACGAGGGGGGAGGTTGGGATGAATTCGCGAGTTCTGATTGGTGGACAGGTAGCGTTGAAAATGGCGTGGCTGGTGAACGACGGGTGGCTGGGGCTCCGCCAGACCCTTGGCGCCAGGACTCGAGACCCGTCGACTCGGTCCCAGAATCGTGTGAGACCCTCTTCCGCAGCAACCCCCAAGGATTGGTGAGGATCATGATAGCTGAATTGGGGGTAAATCTCTGACGATGATATTCAGGTACGGAGTACGCAAGACGGGGGCTCGGGACGCGGGATGCGGGACGCGGGACGCGAGGCCTCGCATGAGTGTGGGATACATACGAATGGGTAAGGGGGCTTCTTCGGGCTTCGATGTCCACGGGCGCCGGCTCTCACATCCGGGTTCGTGACGATTGCGTATCCATATCCGTATATTTGGCGGATAGGTGTCTCGGACAGGGGCGCAGGCAGCTAACGGTGACTGACACTTACATCGTCATGTCCGTGACGCGTGGGAGCCGTTGCGCTGTCTGGGATTTTCGTGCACTGGTGTGTTGGACTCGACGGAAGGCTTGGCTTCTATGCGCGTGGAAATGAAGCATAAATGATGTCTCGAATGTCGCTTATTCCGGCCGGAAAACCTATTCATCATGATACTTATCTCGTTTGGTTCACTGATGAGTGTGAATTGACACCCGGTCCTCCGATAGTCCCGCCAACCGGCCGACGGTCAAGCAGGTATTCCGGACAGACCCCGGTTCGGGGTCTCCACACGGAGCCGGGCTCATTGGCTCCATCACCATCATCCGCGACCGGCGTCACGCAATCCCTCCTTCACAGGTCGCCGACTCCCCCTCTCCCCCCCTCCCCGCAGTCTAGCACAGTAACACGACTAGAGTCACGAACTGGTCTTTAGCCAACACTAGAAAGAAAACGCTTACTGCGCCTGCAGCGTTCAGAGACCCCTAATTACCTAAAAATTACGGGCAAACAGTAGCACAATGCGGGGGAGTCATGGGTAGCTGCGGGTAGCTGCGGGCTGCCCCACCACCTGGTGCACCCGCGCCCGCGGGGAGAGTGTCAGATACGCCTTACGCCCTTTGTTATCTCGAAAGCTCCCTGAACTCGGGCTGAGGTAACCGCAACCTCCGACACAGCTCACAACATCTCTCAGCGCACTCTTGAAATCTCACAGTAAACATAATTCTTCTTCCAAAACATCTCACAACTGAACTCGTTCGCCGCCAACATGTACTCGAGGGCCGCTTGCCGTGGCCTCAATGGCTCCGTCTGCCGGGCATCCACTGATCCCTTATCAGCAGCTGTTGCCCCTCCCCTCACATCTCGACTTACAGATCTCCGACTCCGGAGCCGGGAGCCCGTCATCTCTCAACGGCCGTTTCACTCAAAGTCGAGTGACAGATCCGTGGCAGACGCCGTCCCCGTCGAGAGAAAAGCGACCTTTGAGAAGCGACAGCAGCCGTCACCGTTCGATGGCGTCCGGGAACGCAGGGCCAAGGCCGGCAAGCTGATTGCGGGCGTGGCCGCGGCTTCAGACAGTGACATGTTTAAAGCTCCTGTATGCCATCTCTCTCTTTCTGTCAGACATCTTCTACTTCACAGCATACTAACCTTTACTCACAGGCAATCGGGAAGCCCAATTCAAAGCGATGGGATCGTAAGCTTCACTCATCCTCTCTCACCAGCCTCTCACTGACACAACCTCAAAGATCACCTCTCCAAAGAATCCCTCGCCCGCCACCCCTGCTCCCTGAAACAAGCCGCCCGTCACCTGAAAAAACCAGGCCTCATCTCCCTCGGCGGCGGCCTCCCCTCGAGCGCCTACTTCCCCTTCGCCTCCCTCTCCGTCCGCGTCCCCACGGCCCCGCACTTCTCCGAGGCCGACACCATCGGCGCCCACGGCCAAGACATCACCGTCGGCAAATACGACGTCCGCGACACCCCGGACGCGGAGTACGACCTCTCCATCGCCCTCAACTACACCCAGTCCACCGGCTCCGCCCAGATGATGCGCTTCGTCACGGAACACACCGAGCTCGTCTACAACCCGCCCTACGCGGACTGGCAGTGCTGCCAGACCGTCGGCAGCACCGCCGCGCTCGAGCAGACGCTGCGCATGTTCTGCGATAAAGACCGGAAAGATGCCGTCCTGACGGAGGAGTACAGCTTCTCCACCGCGCTCGAGACCATTGCCCCGCTCGGCGTGAAAGCCGTCGGCGTCCCCGTCGACGCGGAAGGCTTGCTTCCCGACGCCATGGACGAGATGCTCTCCGCCTGGGACCCGGCGGCGCGAGGCGGGCACAGGAAGCCGCATCTGCTCTACACCGTCCCCTCGGGCCAGAACCCCACGGGCGCAACGCAGTCCGCGGCCCGGCGGCGCGCCATCTACGCCGTGGCGCAGAAACACGACCTCTACATCATCGAGGACGAGCCCTACTACTTTCTCCAGATGCAACCCTACACCGGGCCCGAGACCCCTTCTGCCCCGCCCCCGTCTTCCGTCGACGAGTTCCTCGGCACGCTGATCCCCTCCCTCCTAAGCATGGACACGGACGGCCGCGTGCTCCGGATGGACTCCTTCAGTAAGGTCCTCGTCCCGGGTTCACGCCTGGGCTGGGTCACGGCGTCGGCGCAGGTGATTGAGCGCTTCATCCGCCACGCCGAGGTCGCGAACCAAGGGCCCAGCGGGTTTTCGCAGGTCGCTGTTTGGAAGCTTCTCGACGAGACGTGGGGCCATGAGGGCTACCTCCAGTGGTTGATGAACTTGCGCATGGAGTATACGCAGCGCCGCGACTGGCTGCTCGCCGCGTGCGAGAAGCATCTTCCCCGTGACATTGTGAGCTGGACGCCTCCTGCTGCTGGCATGTTTGTAAGTCTTATCCCCCCCCCCCTCTCCTCCTCCTCCTCCTCCTCCTCCTCCTCCTTCTTGTTCTTCTTCTCCCTTCACACCCCTCTAGTACTGCAGTCGTTGCTCCCTAGGCTGACCAATTTTCTTTCTCTCTGCTATACAGCTATGGCTCAAGATAGACCACACGGCCCACCCAGATAGCAGCACAACCCGCCCCCTCCTTGAAATCGAAGAAGAAATCTTCAACTCGTGCATCGACAAGGGCGTCCTCTGCGCCCGCGGCTCCTGGTTCCGCACCGAGCAGGACACACCCCTCAAGGACCTCTTCTTCCGCGCCACCTTTGCCTCGGCAAGCGAGCAGGATATGGATAAGGCGATTCAGAGGCTGGGGGCTGCCATCAAGGAGAGTTTCCGCATTGCGTGAGAAGAAAGAAAACGTTTGCTTGTAGGCAGGCCCTTTGGTTTCTTTCGATCCCACGGTATCACTTCGTTTCTGTTTTTTACTTCCTTTTTTTTTTTTTTTTCCACATCATCTTCCGTATCGTGTTGGCTCTGATCTTTGCATGAGTTTGGTTCAGGGGTTGGGCTGGCTAAGCATTATCATTATCATCATCACATTGGAGCTTAGGGGAAGAGGTCGTTATGCTTGTTTATAGAAGATGAATGGGCAGAGACTCACGGTTGGGTATTTTCAAACAACAAATTCCATAACAAAAGGGCATTTCTCCATGACAGTATACGCAAAAGTGTACGCCAGACGTGACGGGCCAGTCGCAAAAGCTTTCCCGTTCATATGGAACCCAAGTTTCCTTGGTAAAGAGTACGGACGCAGATCCAACAAGTCCCATCACGGGAATCTTCAGTATCCATCTGATAACAAACCTCCACCCCCACAAGCTCTTCGATTCTCTTGATATGACCCATATTCGGGGCTCAGTAGTCTCCCGCATACACTACAAGGTCGCTCATGCACATCAGCAGCCACATCAACGCTGACGGCTCGCTCCCGCCCTATGCGTAGTCTGCATATCATTGGTACCCGCCGTGCTTACTCTGCTTCTTGTCTGAAGTAGAGAATGCAGCTAGGCTTCCCTAAGCTTTCTTCGGCCTTGTGAGTTCCCTCAATCTTCCTGGCGGTTGTCATGTGGCTTGGCATCGTGTATGCGGTTGTCCGTTACACAAACAGGTTGCTTATCCCAACCTCCCACACCAGTCGGCTACAGTGCGCCTAAAAAGACGGCCGGCGCTGTCTTACTACACACCTCATCCAGGAGTAACGTGTTGATTAATTCGTCGTCATCGTCAAAGTTCATCCCGCCTAATCCAGATACTCTTTCCAACAAGGTTGTCGCGCCCAAAAATGAGACGTAACAAAAAATAAACCCTCCCTCCTTCAACCCTTTTAACCCTGCTTCGCCCGCCAAAAAGCAACCTTGACGCCATCCCCAGGCTGCAACACAATCTCCGCCTTGAGCGTCGGCTTCCCGCCGTCGACGGCATCCATGTAGCTCTCCACCCTGTCAAATTTTTGGAACAGCCGGCACAGCGTATAACTCATCTCCGTCAGCGCAAACTGCTGCCCGATGCAGATGCGCGGGCCGCCGTTGAAGGGGATGTACGTCCACGGTTTCGGCTGCCAGTGGAACCACCGCTCGGGCGAGAAGGCGTCCGGGTGAGCAAACGTCTCGGACACGGGCGGGTACAGGTCCTCGCGGCGCTGCATCAGGAGCGTGGAGTACCCGATCGGCGTATCCTTGCACACGGCGAGCGGTAAGGTGCCGTCGGGCCCGCCGCCGACGGGAAGCGTCGTGTCCTTGAGAGCGAGGCGGACGTTGAAGGGCACGACGGGGTAGAGGCGCAGGACCTCGTTCATGACGTTTTGGAGGTACTTCATGTTCTTTAGGTCGGCGTAGGTGGGCTCGCGGTCGAGGCCGACCTGCTCGATGATCTCGGCGCGGAGCTTGCGGACGACGTCCGGGTGGCGGCCCAGCTCGTAGAGTGTCCAGGAGAGGGAGGCGGCGGTGGTGTCGCGGCCGGCGAGGAGGACGGCGACGAGCTGGTCGCGGAGGGCTTTGCGGTCGCGGGTGAAGCTGGCGAGCTCGTGGAGGAAGGTGTAGCCTTGGTCGGATTTCGTCTTGGAGGCGAGCTCCTCGGGGCTCAGGCGGAGGGCGCGCTCGATGAACTTGTTGACGAAGCCGTTGATGACGTTGAGGCCGGCGCGGAAGGAGAAGAGAGGGATGAAGGGCTTTAGCTTGGCGGCGCGGGCGAGGATGTTTTGGACGCGCTGGACTTCGTTGAAGGCTTCGGCAAATTCTTGCTTCACGGTTCTGTTGGGGGGTTGTGTTAGTCTGTGGTGCTGCAGAGGTTTTTTTGTGAGGTGAAGAACTCACGATAGTGACTTGACATCTTGGCCAAGGAGAAAGTCGGTGGCCACGTCCAAGGTATAGCGGAAAAAGAGGTCCGAGACGTCCATGACCTTGCCGTCAACAGCATCCATATCAACAATCTGGCCCTCACCATCCAAGGCACCACCGTTGGCAATAGCCTTGAACAGAGTCTGAATATGCGACTCGAAGCAGTGCAAATCACTGACGCGGTCCTTGATGAACTGGGGCCGGATGAGCTGGCGACTGGCGTGCCACTGGTCGCCGTCGGTGGTGAAGATGCTGTCGCCGAGGAACTCCTTCCACTCCTGGTGGAAGGGCTCGCCCTTGCCGTAGTCGGAGAATTGGGTGGCGAGGATGGCTTTGATGTTCTCCGGGTCGGCGGTGAAGACGATGCGCAAGCCCAGGATTCTCTTCTCGCCGGTCCAGCCCTTGACTTTGGAGAGCATGTCCTTCCAGAACTCGACGTTTTTGTGTGTCATTGTGCCGCGGACGGCCTTGAAGATGAAGTCGATGCCTGGTGTTGGGGGAAATGTGAGTAAAAACGAGCGTGGATGAAGATTTGTCTCTGATAACATGGCCACAGGGTGTGTAAGTCACATTGCGAACATCATCGGGAACTTACCACCGGGAAAACGGGCATTGAGTGACTGGCCACGGGTGCCGGGCGCCAGACGGCGCAGTCGCATGGTCTCATCGAAGCGCTTGACGGCTACCCATAACCACCAGGCTACTACGCCAAAGACCAAGACGACTTTGAGAGTAAGATACTCGAGGGCATGGTCTACTAGACCCATGGTGGGTGAATCTTTGCGGATGTGTTGTCTAATGAGACCCGGTGGTAAAAACGGTGGAGGTCGGGTCTGTAACTCGAGAGATTCACGATCGCCTACGGGCGTGACAAATTCGAGTGACGTCTCTTGAAGCTAGCGACAATGGGTTTCTCAGCGGTTCTCAAGGGCGGAGTGGGAATTGACATGCAGCGTGTCGTCAAATGTCTCAACGTGGGAAAGGTGCAGAGAGTGACAACGGAGGGTATCGCAGTGACTATATTCGAGTGGCTTGTCGAGGACCGGTGCAATAAAACCCGATAGCTTATGTACGGAGGGACGGGATGAATCGAAAACCCGCTTCAGTGAAAATGAAGACTATGTCTGGGAAAGAAGGCATAAACATCTGATGTAGGTCTGGTCTTTGAGGGGGGGAAAGGTGAGACTAGAAGTATTAAGTATGTATCGAATAAGCTAAAAAAGATGTATGAAAGCAGTAGCCACATAGAGTGCAGAAATACACCTTCATGATAAACCCTTACTTTAGTACGATGGGCTCATCCCCACTTGGTCTACCGTTCCTAGCTTGTTGCCCCCTTAATCCGTCTACCTATTCGTACCATGTCTTTCTCCATGAGCTTCGGTACGGGGTCCTCGGCAGCAGTGCTACGGGTCTGCCTGAGACTAGCCAGTGTTGGAGACAATGGGAGAGAGGGGGGGGGGTCGAGGGACGAGGAATGAGAGAAAAGATCAAAGACAAATGCCAAGTACCCCCGATGTGGTCATCCATCCTCCATCCGTCACATCCATGATCCATCGATGGCATCCCGCGGACAGCCCAGAGGCCCAGAGGTCAATCAAACCAAAGACGAATGGTTGGTCGGTGTGGTGGGCTTTCCCCGCCTACTCCTCTCCTCTCCTCGGTAAGGACCATCCCCAAGTCCTTCCATCCTTACACCATGAGTATCGATGCTCTAGGTATTCCGTGGACACGTCCACCGCGCGCCGAAACACTTACCCTTGTTGTGTGCTAGCGGCGGCGTGAAGCCACATGGGACAGGCAGTAAGTAGACTGGCGCTGGCTTGAATTGGGTTAGTACAAAGTCCCGTGTCATGTCTCTTTTACTTTGTTGGTCTTGCTTCAATGTTCGAAAATCGTACCTATCACAAGCTGAGCGTCTATGGAGAGTATCTTGTGGACTAATGTACGTGGTTTCTGCTGTATAAATCCTCAAAGTATACTGTTCAACCCCGAGCCAAGAGAAAAAGGATGGGCAACATCCGGTGGCCTACCGAGTTGCTGTCGTGCAACGGAAGCTAGCTGAACCGACACCAAAAGCCCTCTGCTGAACCCGCCAACGAGGAGAGTGGATGAAAAAGAGAAGGGGGGAACGACCACCCGGAGCCGATATCCCTGGAGCAGGTTCGAATTGTACTTCCCTTCACCATGTCGTGGCACAGCAGAGCCGAAAAGGCGGTCGATGATGGAAGTTTGGTTTCGAGAGCCGCGGGGGATCCGCTGCTGGGGGAAGCCAAACCCTCCCCGCCCCCTGTCAAAAAGGCACATGTACGGCGTAGCAGCGGTGGCAGCAGCGGCGTGTGTGCGCGCGCCGCTGTTGTGTTCGCTACCTTACAGAGCATCCCAAAGATCTTCCTCTTTAGGGAAAGAGATGCAAAGCGTAGCCAATGGTAAAGTGCTGCATACTTGAGAGTTGTGATAATGGTGAGAGGGCTGCGGCGCAGTTGCTGGGAACATGCCTACCTGATGCCGAGGACATTAACCCTCTCTTTCCCTCAGGTTCTTTCGTGAGATTATTTTAGATCTTTTGTTTTAGAGGTGATGGGGGAAGCAATTGGACGGGCTAACCGGTACGTACGTGCAGTGCGATGCGCTAGACTCGCATGATTAGTCCACACAAATGTTTAAATCATCTAGTCATGAAGTATGGTAACAGTCTCATTCTCTACAAGAACAAGAGAAATGCGATAGTCTAGGTGTTCTCATCTTTCAAATACAATTTACAATCCAGCAAATAGTAGCGACGACATCCCTCGAGACTCTACATTTTTTTTTTCCTTTTCTTTTCTTTCCTTGTATCCATACATCATGTTGAGATCCTCACTTCGACCTACCTTCGTCATTCAACATTGGAGACTCAGACGGGCACAGCGCAAAGACCCACCGATCACGATCTGAATACCCAGAAAGGGAATTTCTGCTGTCGCGACCTGCACACTTGCTGCAGGTGCCACACGACCACCAAGCTCCCCACCCCGCAACTTGCAGCTCTCATCCCTGTAGCTCTTCTAAAGAGTCCAATTGGATCCTGCCAGGTTCATGCCTACCTAGCGCGACTTCAGCTCCTCTCACTGCCGAAGCGGAGGTGACGTCGGACAGTAGGTATTCGTCCTCGTGACATTGGAAGCGAGCGGGACAGCGGGAAAGAGAGAATCTCCAACTTTTGAGTTGCTGACTGAGAATAATATCCTTGACCATCAAAGAGGGTGTGTGTGTGTGTATTAGAAACATGGTAGATTATTCGGGACGGAAGTAACGCTTGGATTGAAAACATAAAAAACGGAGTATCCAACCTCTAAAGACGATTGGGATACGGCCAGGCACACATAAACCATCTAAGCTATACTGACATGGAAAAATAGGCATGATAATCACAAGCAGATAGACGCAGTCCCCTATGATCCATCTCCTTCTGGAAGCATTTCATGCCAATTCACCGAGGTCTGGAGGAGATGTAGATCCCCCGCTTTCCTACCACAAACGAGCCGTTCATGCGGAGTGCAGCGGGAACTAGCACAAACATGAAATCCGTCTTGTTTAACCCGTCAAGCGCGTTCCCCCCCTCCCTCCCCGCCCGAAAGGACATCCGGACGAACTTTTGGTCCAACGGGCCGGTTGATGGACACCGAACGGTTGTCACCCGCCTTGCGAGCTTGCTGCTGCTTCGCTGGATCTTGTCAATTGTTGCTACCTTAGGAGTCTGATGACGGTATCCTGATTAGGAAATTCATCATTCGTTGTAAAAAATAATTGATTAATGAGCTGACCCCCTGCCCTAAGAAATGTACAGAAAAAGGTATATTCAACTATCCGGGGAGAGGGAACTCGCTGCCTCCTCCCCGGAATACCGCATCACATGAAGAAACGGTAAAGCCCGATAGAGCTCGTCCTCCAACCTCACACCATGGGATACCCACACTCACCCGCATCCCCCTGCGTGCAAAACGGCATCTGCACCGGCTCCGACCTCACCCCCCTCGCAACCATCCTCTCCCGGAACTCAGCCAGCCGCGGGGCCGCGTCGTACTGGCTCCGGTTTTGGCCCGAGGCGTCCCGCCGGCCCGACCACAACACCTCGCCCGCCGCGCTAGCCCGCGGCCACAGGATCCCGTCGATGCTCACGGGGTCGATAGACTCGCTCCACGCCGCCACCTCGCCGCCGAGGACGAGCTTGGCTTCTGCCTCGGTCAGGTTGGCCCGCGGGTCATGCGAGTACATCAGGCGCCACCCCTTTGCCGGGGAGCACCAGTCGTTAAAGGGGAAGAAGGCCTCGAAGGCGGCGCCATTGTCAAAGTTCATCCAGTGGCCTCTGCCGCAGTCGGAGTACTGGTATACGTTAGCAAAAAAAGTTGAACGCCCGAATATGATGTCGACAGCACTTACCCAGTAGTTGTAGTTGCTGTCAATGACCTTGTGGCCATTGCTAGTCAGTTTCTTCACGGAATCGCCTCCCAGCCACGACTGAATCACGACGTCGTCGCCGAGCGTAATGTTCCACTCGAGCGGCATCTCTTCCCAAACCAGCGGGATGAGCCCATGCTTGCGGATCCTGGCGTGGTTCTTGTCCATAAACTTTTGCAGGAGTGGCTGCAGGACCTCGCTCGAGTTGGACCGGATACCCTCGTCGAGCATCGAGTCGTTCTTGTTCAGCTCGTCGCCACCTGTGTGGAAGTATGCCGTGTAAGGACCGACTCTTGGCAGGAGATCGTCAAAGAGCTTGTCCAGAAAGTCGTCGACTCTGGTATCATTCATCTTGAAAGCACCACATGGCGGCTCCACACACCACCAGGTGTACGGCTTCTCGTTGTAAGCTACAATCAGCTCTGGGTAGGCGAACGAAACGGAACCAATGTGTCCCGGCATGTCGATTTCAATAACCGGCTCGATTCCGCGGTGAACTGCGTATTCCTGGATCTTGGCCAAGTCCTCGGGTGAGTACGATAACCCCTTGCGGTAAGCGCCTTTGGCGGCCAGATCAGGCATTGCTGGAATGTCAAGCGGCCATGATTGCGAGTCCGTAATGTGGATGTGGAGCCGGTTGAGCTTATTCCAAGACATGGCGTCAATGACCCTCAGAACATCCTCAACGGGGAAAAAGTTGCGCGCCGTGTCAATCATGATTCCACGGTGAGAGTACTCTGGTGAATCCTCAATTGAGACGGGTGCCAGCGTGGTATACCAGGAAGTGCCGGATGTGTGCTGGTAAAAGAGCTGTACAAACGTCTCAAGACCTCTCAAGACACCGGTTGAGGACTTGGCCACAAGCGTAGCTGAGCCATCCTCCGTGATGTTGAGCGCATACGATTCATCGACCTCGCCGTCGACAGGCTTGAACGTGCTGGGCTTATCCTCCCCAGTCTGTGTGATCTGCAGCGACTTGACTGCCTTCTTGTCCGCCGCGTACACATCTGGCTCGAAGTCGCTGTTCTTGGGGTGAAATTTCCAGGGCACGAAGTTTTGCTGAAAGATGGCAGCCATGGCGCGCGACACACCGCCTTGCACAATGTCTTTGCTGTTGAAGGTCGAGCCCGAAGCCGGGTTGTACCCATAAGTGTAGGGTAACTGCACGTTAAAGAAATTCTCAGTATTCTGTGTCTCATCATGGGAAATGGAAGTGGAAGCAGAAGAAGGGCGCCAGCGTACAGATCCTCCATTGTATGTGATTTCCAGTGTTTGGCTAATGAACAGGACACTCTTGCCAGTAGATAGCTTCTTCGGGGCCGGCCAGATACCGGCACTGACCTGGCCCACGGCGAGGGATAGGGATACGAGTAAGAGAGAGGGCAACATCTTGACGAAGTTGAGAGTCGATAATGAAAAGGATTAGGAAAAGAAGAAGTGGCTCGTTCAGGCCAGCGAGGAGGGTCGAGGCTGGTTATATGAACAAACTGTGATGACGATGCGCCGTGGTCTTTGTGGTGTATTTTGCGCTGTTCTTGCAAACCACAATCTTCCCAGATAAGGCAGAGAGAGAGAGGGAGAGTGTGATGTACTCTCAGCCCCCAAACAAACCAAAGATTTGTCCCGTGCCACTTTCAGCTGCAGAAGAAAGACATACGAGAGCGCAGAAGCAGTTGCCCGTCGAGTCTGTTGCCCTTTCTCTTCACGGATACCGCGCAGCCAAGTCTGGGTGGTGGTTGGGAACCAACCGACCAATTGGCAGTGTGGTGCACAGAGCAACGTTACGTTACGTCAAGCTTCGAGGTTGACTGAGCCAAGCTCGCTGTCCGCTTGACGACCCACGCTACTGCTGACGACGGAGGGGCTGGCTGATGGTGGAGGGAGAGATCCTCAGGCCTGGTCGATCTCATGGGGTTGAGAAAAAGGAACGAGCAAAATGAAAGCTTCTCGAAATTGGGTAGACCGACGAACTGGTCTTATAAGGTACGTTGGATGCGACGTGCCAGGCTGGACTGGGGCAATGGTACGATCCAATATGTTGATACGTTGATCCCCCCAGTATTCGGTTCCTGATAATCTAGGGAAAATAGTAGGCTATGATTCGTTTGTTGGTGGCGATGAACAAGGGGGATGCCTTCACCGGAGTCGGGGCGCAGGGCGGATGAGAAGAGGCAGCGGCTGTGCTTTGACGCCAATCCAACGCCGGGGATTGAAGGAGCTGAATGAGCCGGGAGGCGCGGAGAAGAGCCGAAAGAACAAGATTATGGTTTGCAAAGGCGTTGGCGCTGGGATAGTCGATCTGTTGGTTGGTGCTCTCACAAAACTAGTGTCTCTTAGGAAGTCAAACGCAATTAGAAGCTTGTGGAAAGCGATAAAGATGATTGATGAGCCAAGCTCAATAGGGATACAGTTGACAAATGCCCATCAGGTCTCAAATTTGATATGATAGATTTGACTACTGGCATCATCTGGTCAATGGTAAAAAGTAGTGTCAATGCAGAGAGTCTTGAGAGTAAGAGCGGGCATTAGGATCATCAACGCCGCCTGTCATGAGCAACGACTGCAAGGATGACAGGAGGGGGAAGGAGGAGGTCAAGAGGAGGCGCGGCAGAAGTCCCCCAAAGGCCAAGGACCTAAGCCAGGCCAGGGCAGCCAACCGTCATGGCGGCAGGGGGCGGGGAACGGCACCTACGGCCAAACAACTTTAATTACCGACCAATCAAGCAGACAGAAACCTCCGATCAAGGGCGGCTTGTCTCCATCAACAAGGAAACAAGAAACGTAGTTAGAGTATTATCTCGTAATGCCTTCGGTCTCGCTCAGTTGGCAACAGAGAGAAAGAGAGAAAGATTTTGATGTTCTTGATACTCTCTAGGACATACTACGGATACGCGTGTTGCAGCTCGCGAATGCGAGAGATGGGAGATTGAGAAACAAACTATGCTGCCGTCGCTGGTCACCAGACGGCAGACGCACGTTGGCAGCCAAGACAGAAAGCCAAGAGTGGAGGGTGGCTTGCACACACCAACGGTGGATCTGCAACATTAGGTAAGATTCTTATCTTTCATACGATCCGACGCATGCCGCAAGAAAATACAAGAGCCTCATACGGAGGACCCGTACTCCATTTAGGTACTCGACAGTGAGAGACCTGTAAACATATACGAGCTGTCGGCTCTGTGGGTAGTATCCTCGGTCAATGACAGATGCTGTTCGCCGCAGTCTCATCTCGATTCTCACAAGTAGGCAGGCAAAGAGAGAGCCATTTCCTTTGTCAATCACCACCTGTTTCAACTGCCACCAAAATAGCGTGGGGACTTTGAGACAGACTGCCGCCTGCCAGTGACCCAAAAACTAAGGTATGGCGGTGAAAGATGCAACAGTCTAAGGTATCCATCCGTAGATGCAAAAAGCTCGGCCCCCCATGAAGGGAGCCTACGAAAGATCCGAGGAGACTCTTACCAGCCTCAGGTGTAACGATGCAGGGATTTTTACAAGAAGATATACGGGACTCGAACCCGGGACCTATGTGTGCAGGGTTATTCAAGCAAATGCGCTGAAATTCCCCGCTACGACACAGGCCTTGGTGGCAGAATGAAGCATTTTTGATCACTATAGAGGTATCGCGGATGGGCGAGGTTGGAATAATCCAAAGACGGAGAGGACATGATGGTGTATCTGCTCTTGTGCTGTGTATATTCATCCACGCGGGTCCGGTGGTCTCTGGGGAAAAGAGGCTGGAGAACATGTGGCTGTGCAGCCGTTGCGCTGAATAATGTGCCTGGATTAGTCAAGCCACACTTGGAATTCGCCTGAACCTTCTGCAGTGAAGAACCTCCGGACGTTAGCTTCCCACCTTACCACTGCGACGCCATGCATCACGTGATGATACACCTTTGCTTCCAATCAAAGGCTTTGTTGTGGGCCCAGCTCTGAATTCTCCGTCATCTCAAGAACGTTCTTTGGCTCTCTTGCCTCACCTTACTTACCTCAATTCACCTCCTCTACCATACACAACATTCTTTTGTTGCTCTTGTGTGGATCAGCAACATAGGCCTGCCCGGAATCATCGCCTGCTCCCGCACCCTATATACCCCGGCGCAAACGATTCCCACTACTGCGCGCATTCTTCCTCGACACGTCAACCAAAGTCTCCGGTGCTGTATTTGACGCCGACTTTTCTTCCCGAAAGCAACGCGTCTCGTCTTGCAGCTCGACTTCAAAACCCACCGAACCTCCACTCGTCGCATTCTCACTCGAAGCTTCACGCGATATCCGCCACACCGGCGCCAATCAATATGACGGTTCAGGTCGTCCTCAACACCCCACTGGCGGATGCCTTGAGCGCCGCCATCCAGCCCAAATTGATCGAGGCCGGCTGGGCATCAGGCTCCGACGACGATGCCGCCCTTGTCGAATACATCATTCTTATGCTCGTCAACGGCCGGACGCAGGACCAGATTGCCACTGAACTCTCGGCTGATCTCCTAGGTCTGGGTCCCGAAGATGCGGGCGCCCAGCAATTCGCCGCATGGCTCTTTGAACAAGTCGAGCAGACTGATGCACAACTCAACGGCACTCAACCGTCTGGCAATGATGCCATGACGGGCATGTCTCAAGGAAATGGAGACTTTGACACCGATATGGGTGCTGGCGATGGCAATGAACTGAACGCGTTTGTCTCCCTAACCCACCCCTAGCAGCCCGTTCTTTACTAACCCACCGTAGCCCGACTGGTCCGCGATCCATGCGGAATGGTCCCAACCCCCGAGGCGGTCGCGACAAGCGGATGCTGGGCCACATGACCAAGGCTATGGATCGGTCCGGCGATTCAGTTCTCCACCGCGTTCGCGGAAACGACAGAATCAACTCTCACGGCCGAGGCCCACCCACAGGTCCCAGAGGCGGAATGGGACGCGGCGGACGGCCCATGAACAACCGCGGAGTGAACATCCAAGCTGGTCTCAACGCGATGGCAGGAATGAACGGTCAACATGGCGGCCCCCCGGGAATGAACCCTATGGCCCAGGCTTGGGGCATGCCCCCGCCACAAGGACAGCCGTCACAAATGGACCTCATGGCGATGATGGAGCAACAGGCGCAAATGATGTCACAACTTCAGCAGCAGCTGATGAACCAGGGCGGTGGGCGAGGTGGACGCCGCGGCGGCAAGTCTTTGTTCGATCGCACTCAAAATTCTCGCGGCGGTTTCCGACAACACCAATCCAGAGACAAGCAAGACTCAGCAATGACGGAAGGTGGAGAAGGAGACGACGTCGACATGTCACAATCGAAGCGCGAAGCGCCCAATCCCGACGAGAATGTCTGCAAGTACAACCTCCGCTGCACCAACGGCGAGTGCAAGTTTGCACATCAGTCACCCGCGGCACCGCCAGGCACCACAGTCGACCTTAACGATGTATGCACCTTTGGTGCCGCATGCAAAAACCGCAAGTGTGTCGGACGGCACCCATCCCCAGCAGCCAGACTGGCGCATCAGAGCGAGCAAGACTGCAAATTCTTCCCCAACTGCACGAATCCGAGATGCCCGTTCAAGCATCCCGAGATGCCGCTGTGCCGCAACGGTGCTGGGTGTACGACTACGGGTTGCAAATTTACACATGTTAAGGTCAAGTGTCGATTCAACCCTTGCAAAAACCCTCACTGCATGTATACCCACGAGGAAGGCCAGCAGGGTGTCTTCAAAGACAAGGTCTGGACCGCCGAGGGTGTCGACGACCACGTTAGTGAACGTCAGTTTGTCGACTCGAATGCACAAGCAGAAGTGATTCTCCCCGATTCAGAGAACGCTGTTGGTCAAGAGCAGAGCAATGCGCAGGAGGTGATCAGCTAGGGGCTCATACGGACGTGAACCCTCAGGAATGTGGACTCCTAGTAAGGAGTTTCCGCAATGCAAGAAGCGTTGTCTCTGGCAATGAGGCGGACTAGAAGGCTGACGGTGGATAGGAGGAGCAGCTGGCTCAGATGGACGTCTCGCATCAGACCTGGTATACCCTAGGAGGATCACTGTGAACTATTTTAGTTGTGGGATCATTAAGAGGCTTCCGAGAAGAGGCCTTGATGGTGGAATGGGAGCGGCGACTTCTTGTATGATAATTGGACGATGATGTATGCCGAAAGCGACATGGCACTCTGGGCGTTTTGCGGGTGCAATTATTCTCAAATTCAAGTATAGACTGGGCTTCGAGCAAGCTGAAATAAAGCGAATCGGAGGACCTCATAAATTGAGGTCCCTGATAGTGTTAGAGGCAGAACATGCTGTCCTCTTTTCTAGCCTCACTTTATGTCTCTGTTCTTTGTTCCTTGATTTTGTGTGTGTCACTTTTCATCTGACTGTTCAAAAAGCCAACTAAACTACGAATGTTTGGGATACTAGCCTGTAGCCGCAACGCACAAAGGTTCCATTCCCAAAGAGCATCTAGTCTGCATAAGTTTTAAATGTGATCATCAGAGAAATATCATTGGACTCCAGACGTAAATGATACTCATGTTGGCAAATAATGTTGGTTCGAGATGGTGGGGCCGGAAGCTCCAAGGACCCCTAGCTCCAGGTACGGGATTGTTTGCTGCAAGACCCCAGTCCATGTCGTGACGCCACTTTGCAGCACCAACATCTCTGCCAACGATCAAGCTCGGATTACCACTGTCTCCTCTTCTCTTCCTCTCTCCTTCGCACCCCTCTCTTTTCCAAATCATTCGACCTTACCAAATGGTGCTCAAAAGAGCCGACAATGCTTTCATGGCTCTATTGAGGTCCTACCACTCCCAGCGCTTCTGCAATGCAGCCCTCGGCGCCTGCGGCAGAAGCGCCGCCGCCGCCGCCGCCGTGCCGGCGCGTCGATCCTTCTCGACGTCCACCGTAGTCGCGAGACAAGAACAGCGACAATCCAAGAAAGAGGCGGAACCAATCTTTCCAAAGAACATTCAGGTACCGACTGATGTTGCCGTCGTCGGTGGCGGCATCGCGGGCCTGACGACTGCGCACTACCTGGCGAAACTGCTCCCCGAGACGTCCAACATCACCATATACGAGGCAGGGGATCGGCTGGGCGGTTGGATCAATACACAGGAGCTTGAGGTTGAGGTCAATGGCAAGAAGAGCAATGTGCGCTTCGAGCGGGGGCCGAGGACGCTGCGTGGTATGGGCAAGGATACATGGAAGTTTGACGACCTCGTGCTCTTCGACCTCGTTAGTAGTTTCTCGTCGAGAAGACGTGTTGTACCCTTCATTTGCTAACATGAGCCCTAAAATAGATCAGAGACCTTCAAATGCAAGGTGAATACCTAGGCATCAAGTCCCCGCCCCGGTACGTCTACTACCCGGACCACCTCGTTGAGATGCACCCGCGCAACGTCTTCCGCGAAGCCGCCTTCAAGGGCATCATCCCGGGCTTCCTGAACCTCATGTGGCGCCGCAAAAAGGCCCGCGAGGAGGTTAAGCCGATCGACATGTCCGTCGCCGACTTCATAGCCACCTACACCGGCCGCCCCGAGCTGGTGGATAATCTGGCGTCGGCCATGATCCACGGCATCTGGGGCGGCGACGCCGACAAGTTGAGCATGCGCAGCTTCATGCCTGGGCCTTGGCACCGCTTCTTCGATAAGCCGTTCCCGGAGGACAACTGTCTGTCGTTCCCGCGGAGCGAGGTTGGGGTGTTGGCGACGTTGGGCGCAGACGAGGGGCTCCGGAGCTACTTGAAGATGGCGCAAAAGGACCAGCTCGTCTTCTTTGAGAAGGGCATGAGCAGTCTGCCGGATACCATTGCGGAACACTTGAGGAGGAGGAAGAATGTTACCTTTAAGATGGGCGAACCCGTCACTGGTCTGGAGTACGATCGCAAAGGCAAAAAGGTCATGGTGAGTTGAACACCCCTCGTTTTGAAGCCCCCCTTTTAGTCAATAACACAAACTAACATGCTACTCACCCCCTAGCTCTCCTCACCAAACTCGACATCCCCGACAGCATACGACAAGGTAATCTCCACCACCACCAGCAAAGCCCTTCATGCCGCGACAGGAGACGTCATTCCATCCCTCGCAAACTCCCCCAACGTCTCCATCATGGCCGTGAACCTCTGGTACCCGCAGCCGAACCTCAACGCCTCCCACCCAGGCGTCGGCTACCTCGTCCCCCGCGCAACAGAGTCCAACCTCGAAGGCCTCCTCGGCGTCTTCTTCGACTCGGACGTCGTGCCGCGCGCCCCCGACGAGCCCGAAGGCACCAAGTTCTTCGTCCTCATGGGCGGCCACTACTTTGACGGCCTCCCCGAGGGCGCGCTCCCCACCGAAGCCGAAGGCATCGAGATGGCCAAAGCCGTCCTCGAACGCCACCTCGGCATCCCGCAATCCACACCGGCCTTCGCAATGGCGAGCCTCGCAAAGGACTGCATCCCGCAGCACCACGTCGGCCACAGCCAGCGCATGGCGCACGCGAGCTACGAGCTGCGCGACGCCTTTAAAGGCCAGCTCGCCGTCGCTGGCGGCTCGTATACCGGCATCGGCGTCATGGGCGCCCTGCGCGCGGGCTACGACGTCGCCGTGCACATTGCGCAGTCTGCGCAGGCTCACGTCGGCGATACGGGCCTCGAGCAGTTTGAGGGGGGGCCAAGTTTGAGAAGTTTGCGAGGACTCGTAGTTCTATCAAAGCCATTGGGCGTGATATCGACGCGGAGATTGGGTGGAGGAATTACATTCGATGAAGGAAAGAAGACACGGGCTGCAAAGTTGCTGTAAAGCTGCTGAAGAGCTGCTATCTCGAGAGCTGTTACCATGCCTGAAGGATATCCCACTGTATCATAAACCGCTGCTGTACTATCTAACATTCAAGACCTATCATAGATGTAAAATATAAAGCCTCTCGTCGACTTTATTTGGAATCAACGGTCCTCCAAGGTTGGTTGGCCACAACAACTGCGTAGTAAAGATTTGCCGACAACATATCTTGCGTCTCTGTCTTGATTGCTCTTGTTCATCTCTATTGTTACTTCATTGCTTTAAGAATTCCACACCCTCTGTATATTCTCTTCCCAGTAAACGTTGAAAAGTTCAGTAAGGGGCAAACTGATAAGGGTAATAGTGACAGAAAATGGGGCTAGACCACTTTGTCGCATAGTTTTTGATACTGACATGAAGGCTAGATTGGCTTTCAGACATTGGCCAAATCACATAGAAGTCACAGCACGCAATGCAATACAGGGTAGGCAGACACTATTGACTTTACCAATATTTTTGAGGTATCTTTGGGGGGACCATCTACCGGTCTCCTCGGCCACGGCCGGGCACTTCTTTTACACGCACCGCTCCATGCGCGCGTGCTCACAACTCCACCCTTGCCTTTCAAGTGTCTGTCGTATACCCCGTCCCGTTGGTATTACGTCGTCACTAAATGATAATGATGAATCGAAGAAGAAGAAAACAAATACATCGTCGCATCCAACCACGCCCTTCTGGCAAAGGTTTATGCAACGCTGTTGGGCAGTCTCTCTGCCCTCATGCCCCTGCCCACGCCCACTTTCCATCCAGTTTCATCTCTCGCCTGTGGGCACTCAATCGAGGACCAAGGGCGCTTGCTTACTTCCCCCACTGGTTCTGTTGCTCCCTTGGCTCACGCTCGTTGGCTGCGTGCCAAAAGACTGATTGGTTGATATTGTTTGACTGGTTTGCGTAGGTTGCCCCTCGGTCGATGGCGCGTTGCCAACGTCACCAGTCACAGCGTACGCTCGTACCAGGTCGTCGAGCTTCGTGAGTAGCTCCATAGTGCTTGGGCCAGGCCGCGAGGCTGCGCTCGTCCTAAGACCCCTCCAGCCATCGCCGTGAGATTCCCAAATTCCCTTGAGAATCTTGTTGAACTCTTCGTCGGGGGCAACCAGGCCTTGTGTTGCGCGAGTAAAGTCCCACCACATCTCGTTGCGCCGCATCCTGCTCCGAACTTCCAACACCAAAACCCGAGGTTCGCCTGTCGGGCTGGGCAGGGTGTATCGAAGGGCGATCCAGTCGATGGACCTAGGAAATATTTCGACGCGTCCTTGATTGGTCGTTTCAAGGGGTTCCCACTTTGATTCGATGCTCTCGAGGGTTCTCAGAACGGGAAGTAGTACCGGCATGTAAAATATCAAGACTCTGAGTCCGTCCTGGGTGTTTACCAAAGACGTGAGCAGGTCAAGAACTCTCGTGTGCGGATTCCCCTTCTCCAGAGACATTCGGATTTGACTCTTGGCCAAGTCGAGGGATACCCTCCAGCGTTTTGGTTTCTGAGTCTGGTCGCTCTCGCCTGGCATCGCGATGTCGCTGTACGTAAAGATGACCTGCTGAAGGCTGACTCGTTCACACTTGACAGAACCCCTTGCTTTGCTCATAGCCTCGAGGAAGCCTACAAGGCGATCAATGGACTTGACATGGGTTGTCAAAGTCTCCAGGATAGGTTGCCCAACTAAGTGGCGAATGCGGAATATGAATTCGCCTTTCTTGGGACTGAAAGAAACGTTCCTGTCGATACGGCCCCTGAGAAGCGAAAACTTCCCCTTGTCCTTGACCCGGACAATGGCGTCGACAACAGTGTTGAGCTCGGCATTTTCGAGTATCTCCACTGCTGAGGGACCATTCCCATCTTGGCCCTGGGCAGCTGCAGGCCGAGTCTGAAGTCCCTTGAACTTCACCTCGACCTGATCCTGCGCCCAAGACGAATCCTGCTTGGCCGACTGCCTTGAGACGTCTTTAGAGCCATCCTGTGCGCCCGTTTCTGACGAACCCAAGATCTGGGACAGCTTAATGACCAGAGACGGAAGCCGAACTTGTTGTGGTAGTGCATAATTAGTGGACTCCTTCGTCAAGTATTGGATCTTGTTCCTATGCAAGTGCTCCAAATCGGTGGCTTGTTGAACGATGCCAGTAACGAAGAGTGTCAAGTGAGACCAGAAAGCATCATCCAGATCGGGTTGCCCTCGAGTGAGTGTCATTTTGGTGTGGAACTTTATTGGTCGTGTTGGCGTATTGCGGTCACTATAATCCTCAGTATCGCTGACCCAGCGCCTCTCGGGAGTTTCAAACTTACATATCAAGTAGCCACCATTCGTCGCCACTCAGGCTCAAGGAAACCATGACAAACCAGCTCTGATCCAGGCTTTGACGCTGTAGAAAAATCGTTTGGAAAGCCTCACGGGTCCGAATGATTTGCTTGATGTCTTCGCCACCAAGCGGACTCTTGCAAGTCTTCCAGCCCACACTTCGTCCTCTGCGGCTGCACTCTTCAATGAAGTAGCCCCACCTGATATTCTCAAGGCAGGTAACTCCATCCTCTGCAGGATCCTTGCCGCCGTAATTGAGGCGATTTTCTCCCTGCAATGTATATTTTGCGTGAGGCTTGATAGCAGCAAGTCCGGTGATTGGTTGTATGATGAGTGTGACGTTGTCCCGGGAACCCAGTTGCATGCTCAAGGATGATTCCATCGGCTCCGTTTGAGAGATCGTCAGAGTCATCGAGGACTCCCTGTTGACGAACCGAGGATATGATAAAAGCTTGGTGTGGATGGATGAGAGAATGTGTTCAGCGTGTCTAGCCACTGCTGTCTTCAGCAGATCTTCGGCACACAGATTGTCCACGTCAAATGGCAGGAACACATCCTTGACTTCCTTGTTGTCCCGATACCAGCGTGCAACCAGTCGGCTGGAATGCTTCGAATCAGTCTGCCCATTCGTCTTTTTGGCACTGTTCACGGCAATCATGACCCAGCTCTTTGGTCCATTAGCTCCGTATCGATTGTTCCAGTACTGAAGGGCCAAGGCTCTGTTGAGAGGTTCCACCATCAACGTGCCAGTCCATGTGCTTCGACTCAGCTCCATGGCTTGTCTCCTGAGCTCGCTGATCTTGTGCGTGAGCACAAATTCGTGGAGGAACCGGTAGCATCCCTCGAGCCCTTCTTTTCCAAGGATTTCGTTGACGTGTCCCTCAAGGAACGACACCAGTGCGTCGGAGAGCTTGCTTGACGAAGGCGAAAAAGCAAATCGGAAGTCAATGAACCAAAATTGTTTGGTAAAGTCCTCGTCGGCGATTGTCAAATCCACTTCAAACTCGCCCTTCACTACGAACGTGACTCTACCAGACTGAATACTGTAGTTCTTGAACTGATGTGGTATCTTGTCGTAGTCCTCCAGGTTCAGGCGAAGAGAGAGCATCGTGTTCAGATCGTCGATCCATTTCAGTTGTTCTTCTGCTGTCAACGGCGGTGGTGGTATGTATCCAGGCTGCGACACGTTAGCTTCTATCTCCGCCTCGTCATCCTTCGTGAAACCTACCTCTGGAATCCATGATGCTTCACCGGTCGTTAAGACTTGCAGAGCAGTCTTCAAGTCAGGGTTGGGAAGTCGGGCGTTGTCAAGCGAACGCTTCAGGTCAATCAACAAGTCCTGAGAGAAGTCGTATAGCATGCGCTTCGAGTCAATGTGTGCCTTGATGTCGATAAGCTTGCTGACAGCCTCCGCATTCTTACTCCAGTCCGTGATGACGAGGGCCTTGACCCATTTAGAATGCGCGTCTTGTGCAAACTTGATCATGAGCATCTTCTTCCTCTTATTTCCTTCTGACATGTCGTCAGGTGCGTCACTGCCATGGGGTGTATTTCCGTTCACAGCAGGAGGTGCCCACTTAATGGAACCCATTTCGATGACCGTCTTCTGTAGCTCTTCGTGGGTGTGTTGCGCCAGTCGCGCGACAATCGTCGATAGGGGGATGTACCCCTGAGTGATATGCACAATCTCCTCGGGTAGGTCGTTCATCCTCGGTTTTTGCTGTAATGTTAGCCCGGTCGACATCTGCGATTGTTGCTTTCCTTGGGAGTCGTTTTGAATGTTTCCCACGGAGAGGCCATTCGCCGTGTTGCCGGTGTCAGGGGTGTCGGCGGGCGCCTTGCCCTTATTTGGCTGTCCCTCCATCGCTACACCATTGGCGCCGTTAACCTTTAGGTTTCTGTCATGGTTTGGATGTGTGCCGTTCAAACCCCCATTCTCCATGTTGACGATTCCAGGCATCGGGGGAGGGCCCTTCCTGCCTCGTTGCCTGCGTCACGACTGCCCCCCCAAAATACGAGCTTGTTTGTTTCTTGGCCGAGAAGATACGGGATACCGATACTGGGTGAAGCCGTGCCGGATGAGCTAGGGAGGATAATCAAGAGCTGGTCCCGGTCGATTGTCAGACGGGATTCAGGCATCGGCGCCGGATGCGCAAGCCGGCAGGGTAGCGCAATCGCATCAACTAAGAAACCGAAGTTCCAAAGAGGTACGCGATATACGCAGATAGGCTTTGGTCGTCGAGGTCTCGTAGTCGACAGGCGCAAGCGTGGTGTCGTAGAAACGCGATGAGGTCGTGGTCAATCGGAGGAACCGACCTAGCGTCGATCGTCAATGGGGGGAAGAACGCGGGATCGTTGTTGGGATTGTATCGTTGTTTTCGAGAAAAGTAATTCGCAAGTCAAGGTTGTCAGTGTACACGGGGTTTCCGAATTACCGTGGAAGTCGGGCCGCGCAAAAGTGTTCGGGTTGTTGACTGCTAGGTAATTGGGCAAGTGGTGATGCGATGGTGAGAGCGTGCAGCCAGGCATACAACCAGGGCGGGAACTAGATCGGTCACGGTGCAACCCGAGCCTTCAGCATTTTTCTCGGACAGCCACGCCTACGGGCAGGCGCCAGCAGTCGACTTTCCCTGCTGTTCATCCGGGTCGGGGTGTCATGTGATCTCCGCCAATGGGACAGCCGTGGAGTCCACCGTGCAACATGGCCACCTAGGTAAACCGTATTTGGCAGATTAACCTTATCTTATCAGTCCATCACTAACTAACCTTGAGGTACCTACGTAGTAGGTAGGTAGGTAGGAGCTCCTCGAAATACTTAGGTACTTCATAGCTAGTCACTCAATCCAAGCACGCATCCCCCAAATCGTTTCTAACTATTAAGTCACGATTGCTGGCTTGCATTTCTCGGGGCTGAATCCGTGGTCACTTTTTGACATCTGAATGGATGGAACAGGGCTGCAACCTGCATACTGGACTGGTTCGTTGCATCAAAACTTGTTCCAACATCTTTAAGACTCCTCTATGATGACGTTCCTATGAGTGCCTACGGAGTACGTTTTCAAGAGTGACTGACTCGCCGCTATATGTACCTTACTGAGTGAGTACTCTCGTCACCCCACAGTGTCTTGGTGTACGGATATATCCCTATCTTGGAAAGAGTGATTGCAAATCATAGTAGGTCTTAGCAATACGTTTTGATCATTAGAAACGTGAATCTCATTGATTTTCTATCCTCTCTGAACCGGCCAAGCAAAGCGAAGAAATGTCCATCGTCCTACCAGTGTCCACCCGTGGGCTTTCCTCCTGGCTTCCCTTGTTTATGTCGTCTTCATTTGAAATCTATGCCCTCCCTTCGATGGTTATAATACGTTGCGCATGCTATAGGCGGCGCAGAGGATATCGCGGGTGCATTGGCCGAAAGTGTGGTTTTTGGTTGTTGGTGTAATGGGGTTGGGGGCGGGGGTTGCTCAACTGCTCATACACATCCTTTAGAATCAATTCTTCTATGTATGATAGCTACGCTAAGGCGCGCACATCGTGTTACTCACAACTTGTTCGGGGCAGCCTGAGCAGAGGTAGTAGGCCACTGGTATCCTGCCGCATCACTGAACTTGTAGCCATAGGAGGAGGTGAAGTCGTCGAGGACAGCAGGGCCACGAGATCCTAAGAAAAGGTCAGAACAGGTATGCCTAAAGAACGTACACACTTCGGGAACTTACCGTAGGGATACTCCATGGGGATAATCTCCTTGTTGTCGTCCAGGTAGTGCAGCAGAGGGGTGAAGATTCTCCAGCTGGCGTCCAGCTCGTCGTCACGGACGAAGTTGGAGTGGTCGCCCTTCAGGCAGTCCAGAATCAATGACTCGTAAGCCTCGGGGATCTTGAGGTCAGAGAAGCGGCGGCGGTAGGTCAAGTCAAGTTCGGTGACGACAGTCTGCATGCTGAGACCAGGCAGCTTAGAGTTCATCTTGACGTAGACACTCTCGTTGGGCTGAATGCGCATGACAAGCTCGTTGCGGGGAATGTCCTTAAAGATTCCTGAGGTAACGTCCTTGAACTGGATACGAATCTCAGTCTTCTGCTCGTTAAGGGCCTTGCCGGCCTTCATGATGAAAGGAACGCCATCCCAGCGCTCGTTCTTGATGTATGCGACGAGGGCGCAGAAGGTGGGGCATCTCGAGTCCTTGGGGACAGTATCGTCTTCCTTGTACGACGGCTTGCTGCCGTCCAATGACTTGCCGTATTGTCCAATAATAACGTTCTTAGGCTCGATGGCGGGCATGGCGCGGAGAACGCGCACCTTCTCGTCACGGATGTCTTCCGAGGCGAAGGAGATGGGGCGCTCCATGGCGAGCAGGGTAAGGACCTGGAGCAAATGGTTCTGCTGGACATCACGAATGATACCGAACTCGTCAAAGTAACCGCCGCGACCCTCGGTACCGAAGGGCTCCTTGAAGGTGATCTGAACGTTGTCGATGTTCTGCCTGTTCCAGGTGGAGCCGAAGAAAGAGTTACCAAAACGGAGGATAAGGATGTTCTTGACCATTTCCTTGCCGAGGTAGTGGTCAATGCGGTAGAGTTCATCTTCCTTCCAGTCGGGCTCAAGGGACTTTTGAAGCTCCCTAGAGCTGGCAAGATCCTTACCAAAGGGCTTCTCAATCTTCAGACGTCATCATGTCAGCAAATCCGCGTGCAATAGGGCTAAGATTGGGCGTGGGCGGCACATACAACAACGCGCGCAATTCCCTTAGTGGGGTAGCAGCATCTCTTGAGGTGCTGGGAGACAATGGTGAAGACACTGGGGGGAAGTGCCATGTAGAAGAGACGGTGAGTCTCAGGCTTGCCCTGCTCAAGCTCCTCAAGGTGCCTGGTCAGGTTCTGGAATGACTCGTCCTTGTCGTACTGGCCAGAAACGTAGGTGCAGAGGTTGCAGAAGTCGTTGAGCTGCTGCTCAATCTCCTTCGTGGGTGTCTTCATGTAGGATCTGATACGGCGGATGTAATCATCGTGGTCCATCTTTGTCCGTGCATATCCGACAATCTTGATGTCCTTGGGGAGGAACTGGTTTCGGTACTATTTGCGCCGGGTTAGCTCGCCAGATCCGCGGAGAGGCATATCAATGCGGTCGAGAAGCTCGTACCAGACCGAAGAGAGCAGGGTACTACAGAGATGTCAGCAGATTTTCCGGCCATGGAAAGGAGCTCATTCGCATACAGTCTTCTTCTTTGCCAAATCTCCGGAAGCACCGAGAACAACGATGACGGTGTTCTCCTTGAGCTCCATAGAACTGTGTTAATAGCACCATTGTCAGCCAAGCTCCGACGAGAAACTACAACGAGGCCATTGCCAGTCTAGCACAACACAAACTGCCGATTTTCAGGTAGGACGGCGATGATGAGTGAACCTCCGGAGTCGCAAAGCACAGCGGAAGGGAATGTTGGTGGGGTAGGAAGGCGGGGTGACATACGCTGCGGCGGAGGTGTGATCGGCCATGGTGTGTGATGTCGGTGATGAAGCTGGCTCGACTATGAATGTTTCTTTGGGTGAGAGATGTAGAGAAGAAGGGGGAAAGAAAGAGCCTCTACAGCAGGAAACCAAAGTTAGCAAGCAAAAAGGCAGAAGAGCGAGTTGGGAAGGTTTTGGAAGGAGATGCTGGGCGGCATCCGGGACGGATGGATTGGGGTATTTAGTAACGACGAAGCACAGATGTACCTCACCTCTAAGGTAGGGGTGCAGAGGGGTGGATGGGTACGCCAGAACGGGCCCGACGCAGGTGTGGATGGGGTGAAAGGGATAAGGTATGGGTACCTACGCAGTATGGCGGTACGCCGGGCAGGGCATGGCAGCGTGGTGCGGCGCGAAGGCGCTGATGGAAGGAGGGGGAACTTTGGGGGGAGACTCAAGTCTCAGGGGAGTACCGTACAAAGACCGGGCCAGACGAGACCGCAAAAAGCCAAAAAGATACTTAGCCTGAGATCAGGTCAACATACCGCGTTTAGTGCATCCCGGCGGGGTTTGTCAAAGCAACACGGGAGCCAGGGGAAGCTTACTCACAGTCGCAACCCACGTCTTGGTGCCGCTCTAGCGTGCCATGTACTGTACTTGGGAACTTGATCAAGTTGTCGAGTCCCGCAACCGCACCGCGGCTCGCCTTTCTACGCTTGAAAGCGAATCACTTCGGTGAAGGTGGGTAGGTTTCCCTTGATGGGCAAGTGGATAACTAGTACGTTAAGTCGATTTCGGCGGCATTACTGAGCGGTACCTAGGTAGGCCTATGGATACACACAATGGAAGCACACAGGTGAGACAGAGGTTGGCACAGGTTGTCTTTGTGATTTCAGACAGCGCAGCCTGAAGCGCCCGCCCGCCCTCGCCGGACGTTCGTAGACGTGGACTTGGACTTGGACGGAGGAAGCTGTGGAGACTGGAAAGGCAGCAAAGAGCTGAGAGCGCACGGAGACGGAGAGCGAGGATTAGTGAGCGAGCGGGCTCTCGTGGATTATTCTACAGGTTTTCGGTGCTTTTTTGCGAGAGACAAGGGCTCCTCCCGGCCCCCTCGTTCAATGTCACCGGGATTTCTGTCTGCTCCTCGCCGACTTTGGAGTCGGGACTTGAACAGGGTTGATGTCAATGGAGGGGAAGAAAGGAGGGGCACCTCCTCGGTCTTGTCGACAAAATGTTGAGCGCTCCCGGAGATTCATACGTATTTATCGGTCTTAAGCTCCCCGGCCCATCAGCACTGGTCAATGGTGACTGAGCAGCGTCCGTCCCAAGCATCCGTAGATCCCTCTATCAACCCTACCCTACAGTACCTAACGAATAGTCAGAGCTTCCCGGCATAGCTCCAGTGTGCACAGAGTCATTCACCCCCATGCCACCTTGATTTGGTCCGGCGCTGACGGCATCAAAGACTAGATGGTGGGCAATTGGGTTCCCAGTACAAAGGCAATCCCTCACACTAACTTGTAAGTGGACTGGCGAGTGTCTCTCTGCCGGATCTGAATTCCAGAGTAAGGAACCACCTGTCTTGGTCACTTGGGTTTTACAGATCAGAGAAAACATCATGTAGCATGCAAGCGTCCCTATTCTATTCCGCCGGTTCGGGACAGCATTCTTTGATTCTCAAAAACCCAGGGGCGAGTGACAACCGCAGCAAGTACTGTACTTGCCAGACCCCTGCCCGAAGATGAAGAAAAAAGATTCTCGAGCAGATGGGGTACCTCTACTGAAGAGGAGCTAAGGTGCCTCCGTATGCAAGCTGCAGCAGAAGTGTTGGACCAACGCCTGTCAGAGCGCACCGGAGCTCCAGAAACACAAAATATCAGAGGAAAATAGGAAAACATCAAAAAAAGATTCAGAGCCCTGCCGCCGCAACTTCAGCCCACGGCACACACTTTGCTTCAATGCACCCGCAGACGTGCGGGATTCGCGGCCGCTGGGTACCTACGTGTAGACCCCCCCCCCCAGCTCAGTCACCAAGCCAACACAACATCCACACATATGACCTCAGATAGCTATGGGCCCCAAAAAGGGTCCAACACCAGCAAGACTGCCCAGCATTGATGATTGAACATCTGGATCTTGGCTTGGGCTCCATCTCCGGCCCCAGCTGATGCGGCGGTACTCCCAGTCCCTCTCTTCCAAACGCCGGACACCGCCGAGGCTCCCGATCGGACTTTGCTGCTTATGAGATCGGTCTGGGTAGCTGAGAAGCGAGGGCGGAATTTGGGAAGCTGTGGGAGCGTGGGTCGCCAGCCTGTGTGAAACGGTGCTCCGTAAGGTAACGACAGACCTGTCACTCTGACTTGTATCGTCGCCGCGTCGGGCCCAGTTGCATTGGAGAGTCATATCTGTCGGTCCTGCAGTTGCAGGCGGATATGCCTGTGGTGCGTTTCCTTCCCTCCCTCCCCAGCCCTTCTCATCGCTCCGATGTTGTCACCGCGGGGTCTTTCAAGAAGGCTCCTTGCCAGCAGCCAAACTCCATCCATCCCGCTGCTGGTCCGGCCAATGCAACTGTGGCATGAAGTTCTACTGCAGACCTCCTGGGCAATCGGCAGAGTTTGGCGGCCAGAAATTGCCGCAAGCCCACCTCTCGAGGCGTTCCAATCGTTGAAGCTGGCGGCTCAACCTGTGCCGGACATTTATTACCACGGCCGCCGCCTGGACATTTGGAAGCACCTCCGGAGTCGCTCTCAAGTTGGCCCCCCACGGTTCGGTCTTCGTCGGTTCTAATCCCAAAGGTCCGAAACTCCTAGTAGGTTGCGTGGTAATATTATCCGTAGTTCGGTTGACGCTTCAACAGTGGAAGATGCTTGAGACATTTCCTGCGTGGTCATCAGATTTTGTCTCTCCCCCTTTTTCACCCTCCACTTCTTGTTGTTTGCTCCAAAGAGACACCGACCCAGTTCAGGAAATCCCGCGAGATTTTTAGGTCTTGGGTGGTGGTTTATACTTGGGACGTCGGACTGCCAGGAAAGGCTGCCCTGCAACTGTCTCACAACTCCGCTGGTTCGGCCGTCCAAGCTCCAACGGATGGCCTGAAATATTCTGGAACTCCGGTCGAGCCGCACATCTGTTTCCGAGTTTGCCATTCTCTATCGAAAGTTGGTATAGGTGACCAGTCACGGCCAACCTTCACTTTGGCAACTCCCCCGGCAACTGCCTGCGGGATACAACCAGTGCTGGGCTGAGAAGCTCTGGTAAGGCTCACTCAGATGGACGTTGTGGTGCATCATAACATTTGTCATTGACGGATTTTCTCCCGCGTCGACAAAGTCTTATCCGCCGCGGCTGCAAGACTTCGGGCGAATGAAGGTGCGAGGGAAGTCGGTGTGGGCTGAATAGCGGCAAAGACGCGTCCAGGCCAGACTGGGTCCCGGGTCGGTAGCTGGGCGGGATTGGCACCGAGTTGGCCGAGACACACAAATCCATGGAAATGGTAAATTTGGAAACGCGGGACGTGGAAGGATAGAAGGCTGACTGCGCCTCACCTTCCGTTGGAAGACGCCACAATGGCGCAGCTTATCTTATCTTCAAATTGAATTGAAGTGGAGTGGAGCCTGCACCTGCCACCTCACCTTAGTCATCTCACGTGCCTCCGCAGCCCTAATTGTGCGCCGACGAAATTCGAAATTGGCTATCGGCCCCCGTAGCGAACATACCGAAATCGCCAACCCACGACGAGCGCCCGGAGTATTAGTCCATCGACAATCCTCTGCCTTCCTTTCTCGAGTCCCTTTGGTTGGAGCGTCGACATACTAACCACCGCCAAAATGCCTTCGGAAGCCGGTCACAGATGTGAGTAATTGATGTCCTACCCTCCTGCTGCAAAAGTTTGCCCTGTCGAACAGAGCCGCGCATTGCATCGAACCCTGTGAATAGGGTCAATCATTGCGCACTCTGAACATGTCACACAGTGGTGTTTACATATTATGGAACTTGGACTGACATGAACCCTCGCAGTATACGTCAAGTAAGTTACACCCACTCGAATTCCTACCCATCGGAACCGACGACGCAACCCGTGGATCGATACGACTTCCCCAGCACTTTGGAAACGGTGCCTCAACGACCCGAACTTTGCGCGACGAACTGCACGTCAAACCGATTGAATCGAAACTAACAAGCCTTTCAGGGGACGTCACCTCAGCTACCAGCGTAGCCGTCACGTCACCCACTCCAAGACGAGTCTGATCAAGATCGAGGGAGTTGACGACACCAACGCCGCCAAGTATGTCACCCAGTTGGCGCCTTCCCCCAAACGCCCACACAGACGGTGGCTAATATTGAGAGCAGCTTCTACCTCGGCAAGAAGATCGCCTACGTCTACAAGGCCCAGAAGGAGATCCGCGGTTCCAAGATCCGCGTTATCTGGGGCAAGGTCACCCGCCCTCACGGTAAATACAGCCTCTCTCCCGATCGAAACATTATTTCCCCCGCGGAACCGAGCATCCCCCAGCTAATACCAGTAAATAGGCAACTCTGGCGTCGTCCGCGCCAAGTTCTCCAACCCCCTCCCCACCCGCTCTTTCGGCGCATCCGTTCGCGTGATGCTCTACCCCTCGTCGATTTAAAAAACGGACTCATCATCGGACGGAGTTGGTATTTGAGGATGGATTCTGAATTGGTTGCATCGGTCCAGGCAAGGGCAAGAGCACAGTGCCTTGCTTGCTAAAAAAAAAAGGCATCAAATCAAACTCGTCAAACAACCACGCAATGAAGGGCGAAACGCACAACCCGCCGAGAACCCCTCTCCCCTTTTTTTCTTCATCGAGACATGGGAATATGAATTCTGCGTGATTCGGCAAAAAGAATGGAAGAGATGTCTGTGTACGGGTCGCGAGGAGTAGCCATTATTGTCGGGGGCTCGAGGACGGGGAAATGAAAAAAAATCAACAACTTGATGTGCTGGCCGGCTACACAAACGCGATAACGACGAACGGTAGATCGGGCGGCATTAATGTCAGGTGTTCAAAAGACATGGCTCAGCGACGGTATTCAATGGTTTTTGCACAACTTCCATTCCGCTCCCTCTTCATAAGCTGTCCGCGGCTTGTTCCAGTCCTAGTCCAAATGTCTTGCTGCGAAAGCAGTCCCAAAGCCTCCAAGTTCCATTTTGCCCATTCGTGTTGCAGCCAGGGAATTCGATGTCTCTAAAACAGTTCCATCTCTGTACAATGGTAGACATGCTTTGCCGTATCCCTACTACCATATCAGCCAGCCATGCCATATTCTAGGTAATGCCCGCTCAATACTTTATGCCTGATGCGCAAGAACCGGTGACATACTCGTCATTCGATTATGGCTAGATGTTGATATGCGTATCATAGTCGGCTATATGAATGTGGACTGTGCGATTCTTGAAAATCTGGGGAAAGAAAGCCTGCCCTAACCTACTGCCATATTCCTTGACCCGTCTATGGTCCTTTCTTTCCACGAGCATCAGCACTCAACTGTTGCTTGGGTAGGTCTCAAGAGGGCACCATTTATAAGAACCATTTTGACTCTGCAAGAACTCCGTTGCAAAGTACCAAGAGGTCCTCACTGGCATCGACAACCCTACTGGACCAAAGAGACACCCTGAGAAGTGACGTCAAGGGCATTTACTGACACGAAGCGGATCCATGGGGGGCCGCTCCCACCCCGTCCCGATATTTCGCGGCCGGGAAATCTTCCGTCCATCTTCGGCAAATCTACCGCTTCGGTACTGCCAACTGGGGGGCCTCCGGCCGAAGGGGGGCGATCTTCCGAAGATCCCCATCTTCTTTACCTCCCCGCTCTGGCTTATTTATACCTTGCTCTCACGGGGGCATGCGAGTTTGCCACGATTCTCAATGCAGTATATAACAATAAGACATACTTCCCATGACTCAGTGAAATTCAATCGAGTCTTGAATCCCGAGACGGCTGGAACGCAAGCCAACGAGGGACGGGGCGATGATGCCGATAGTATTGGCTCGGCATTCTGAACTTGCTGCCCACCCAGGATTTAAACAAATAGACTCACCTGTGACATGAACATATCCAGAATGCACATTGAATCCGAGAAGAAAACATGAGAGAAAGGTGTCGATAGGTACATGAAACGGAAGCTAAACACCGTGAAAAGTGACACCAGATGTGCGTAGACGAGACCTGGCGCCGTATATAACCTACGACACGATTTTACGAGGATGAGCGAGGTAAGAAAGGGTTCCATGCACGTTTCGTCCGCTTTTCCAGCGGCTTCTTCGTTTGTGGAAGTGGTTCAACGTGATCATGGGCATGAACGGATGGTTACGTATGAAGAGGACAGCAGAATTTGAGATTGTTGACTTCCAGGTCCATAATATCAACGTTCAAAGTCACGGTCCCCGAACCCATAACTCAAGTACGAATGTTTGATTTTGTACATTATGCCATACACGTATCTCTGCTTCACTAGCCATATGCCGCCTGTGTGCATCCCAAACTCCAAAGAACCCGTGGCGTGAGGCCCAGTCGATCTTGACAACCACACAACCACAACACCCGTTTAATACCACCGCCAATTCCTTCATTCAATATCCTCCATCGCCCACGCGCTCACACCCGCCCTCTCGACATTAGCCTTGAGCTTATTCAGCACAGCCTGACGCTTGGCCCGCTTCGCCATCAACTCCGACTTCTCCTCCCCGCTGAACCCGCTCAACTTCTTGCGCGGAGGCGTGCCTGTGCCGCCGCGGCCGCCGTACGAGGCCACGGAGGACACCATCGAGTTGCGCAATGGACCGGGCGAGGCCATCACAGAAGATCGCTCGGGCGAGAAGAGGACGGATCGGCTGTTCCTCTGGGGCGTCACCATCGGGGAGCCCTCGCGGCTGTTGACGGACGAGAAGCGGAGCTTGCGCATCTGGTTCTCGAGAACGTCGATATCGCCGGATCGCTTCTCCACCATGCTGGTCATCTTGCCAATAGTGCGCATGACGGCCTCGACGGTGGGCATGTTGGAGTTGCCCTTCCCAGAGGCACTGCTCGCGGCGGCGATTCTGGTCTTGAGGATTGTCAAGGCCTCCTCGGCTTCGGAGAGAAGCTTGGTAAAGTTTGTGTATTCGCGACGCAGTTCGTTCTGCTGACTTGCCTGCTCGGTACTCAGAGGCAAAGTGCGGCTGATGTCGGCCTGGTCGGGATCCGTCTTCACCATGATGATCTTCTTAAGATCGTCTTGCTTTGATCGAAGACGAGACATCTCGCGGGCGAGCTCGTTGCACGCCTCGAGCTTCTCTTCAACATCGTGTACACGACCATCCTCGAGTTCCTGAGCCAAAGATCTGTCAATGACTTCTCCGAGCTCATCAATCTCGCAGAGAACCCAGCCGTCTGGGTTCTCGAGGTCTTGCTTGCGTCGGCCTCCAGCCTTGAACCCGATATCGTGCCCCATGAGGAAGCTGGCAAGAGATCGAGCATTCAGGCCAAGGGTGTCGATCATCGAGTTGATGTCGCGATACACTGCCTCCACCTGAGCCGGGATGTTTTCCTTGGCTGACGGCACAACATTAGAGTGGGCGATGAAATCATCCAGCTTCAGTGTGGGTTCGATCTTTGAGACAAGGATCTTCTGGATCTCGTCGTCCTCTTCATCTTCCAGTGTCTTGGTCTCCTCGGCCTGGCGCCTTTGACGCGCGAGTCTTTGCTGTGCAATGAAGTTATCGTCGTTGGATTTGTTTCCGACGATCGATGAACCCATTTGCGAAGGCTGGCTTTTCTGGGCCGCAAGGATCTGGGATGCCATGCCCGGGGCACTAACCGAACGAGAAGACTCCTGACGCAGGATACGGCCTGGCACAGCGCCGCGAACAGGGCTAGGAGAGCGAGGGCTGGTTTGCGACGGTCTGGGGAACATGGGAGCATTACGGCTCAGGTCGCCAAACAATGATGCCCGCGGTCTCTCTTCCTCTGTGCGTGGGATAGAGTAGGTACTGCTACTGACACCACCAAATGAGCTTTGCGGGGTCATGCCCGCCGTAGGGGTCATGGCCGTCATGGATGGGCTTTGGTCCTTGGAGACAATGACGCCGCTGCCTTCCGACTCATCATCGTCGTCCTCATCCTCAAGATCGGTGTCATGCTCACTATCAGGCACAGTGGGGATCTGGGGAAACACAGGCTCTTTGGGCTTGGTGAGGAAGTCCGGCGGCAACGGAGCATCGTTCACTGCAGGCGTGGTGTTCTGAGGGGTAGACGACCACGTTGCCGATGATAAGGATTGCTTGGGCATTTTGAGGAAGTCAGGAGCCGCAGCAGGCGCAGTCGACTTCGGCCGTTCAAGCTCCTCAGGCGATGACTGGTCGTCTGCCGGCAAAGGAAGCGCCGCCGAAGGTGTGGCGGACACCGTGGTCTTGCCAGGCTTGGGCGTGAGGAAGTCGGGTGGGAGAGGAGCTTCATCAGCCGGGGTAGTGCTTCCTTGCGGCTTTGAAGGCTTGAGGAAATCCGGCGGTAGCGGAGCGGCGTTGGTAGCCTTGGTTGACGTTGCCTTTGGCGTAGTCAGGAAGTCAGGAGGCAGAGGCGCATTGTCCACTTGAGGGGAAGCCTTATTACCGCCGTCTGAAGCAACATTGCCGGTGCCCGAGGAAGACGAGGAATCTCCGAGAGGATATGAGTTTTTGCTTGTCGCATCAGGGGGCAGAGGGGTGTTTGGCTCAGCCTTGACCTCTGGTGTCTTCTCCGTCGGCTTCGCGGAACCAAACAAACCTCCGGTTGTTGGTTGGGAAGGGAATCCAAATAAGCCGCTCTTGGGGGCTGATGTTGAAGTCGGTGGGAAACCGAACTTGGAAGGCGCTGGAGTTTCTTTGGGCGTCGTGGATTGTGCGAAAACTGATTTGGGCTTTGGTGTCTCTTCGTTGGATTCCATGGTCTGCTCCTTGGGAGGTGTTTTAGTTACAGCGCTTCCAAGCGCAGAGCCGAAGTTGCTGCCAAACAATGAAGAGCCGCCAGGGGTAGAAGGTTTCTCGTCATCGTCCTTGGCAGAGGGATCCGCCTCGAAAGTGGTTCCCAACTTGAACGGCTGGCTGAAGGGATTGCTAGTCGCTGGGCCAGTCGAGCTCGGTGGAGGGAACGCGGTATCCTTAGAAGCCGCCCCCAGTTGACCCCCTGAGCCGAACGGACTGGATGAAGGTTTGCTGGAGAAAACACTACCGCCCTCATTGGCCTTATTCCCAAGCGAACCAAAACCGCCAGAACTAGCAAAGCTGGAGAATCCCCCAGATGTAGGTGCAGGTTTGGCTGCCGATCCACCGCCGAACACACTCTTGCTCTCAGACGTTCCGAAGCTACTAGGCTGGCCAAACGCTGGTGACGCAGATGCGTTCGCACCAGATGCTCCACCTGATGCCCATGGAGATGACTTCTGTCCCAGCGACGACGACTGGCCAAAGCCAACTGATGAAGGCTGGCCGAACGCCGGGCCTGCTGAGGATGCAGCTGGGGTCCCGAAGGCACTGCCACTACCGAACGCTGACTTGGGTGCGGCAGCGGAGGGGGTCTCGAAGACGCTTCCACCGCCGAACGCTGACTTAGGTGCATCCGATGAAGCAGCAGAAGGGGTTCCAAAGGCACCACCACTGCCAAATGTTGATTTGGGCACAGCTGGTGTGGTAGCGGAGGGGCTTCCGAAAGAGCCGCCAGTGCCGAACGCTGACTTCGTTGCGGAGGCCTGACCAAAAGCAGAGCCAGACGTAGCAGAGCTACCACCAAAGGGGCTTCCGCTGCCAAACGCAGAACCAGAGGCTGCAGGTGTGGCGGTTGAAGACGTCGTCGCAGTGCCCCAGGGCGAAGCCTTAGATCCCAGTGCAGAGGAACCACCAAACGTAGGGATTTTGGATCCACTGGAACCGAACGGCGATGGCTTTTGGCCTCCGCCCAAGGCAGATGCTGAACCAAAGGCCGAAATGCTCGAAGGAGTACCAAATGCTGGTGTGTTCGAGGCCGGGGCCGTCGCCGGGGCTGCTGCTGCCGGTGTCGAGGTGGATGCTCCAGCAGGGGGCGCGGAAGTATCAAGCACGGCCATGCCAGGGTATGTTGTGCCCTGCCTGATGGAGTCCTCATAGATAATCCACCAGGAACTGAGGACACCTTCATTGTTCAGCACCCACAAGCCCGGCACCGGGCCCGGAGAATCCTCAATCTCTTCATCGGCGGGCAATGGCTTGTACACCTTGTCCTTGGCTGAAAGATCGAGCGTGACACCGATGGGAATGGTGTTCTCGAAGCTGTCTGTCATTGGCAGAGAAGCACGTTTTGAATCATCGGCTAGTTCTGTTGTGGTAAAGACTCCAGAGGTATCGACCGGGTGATCAGAAGTCAGGGGTGATTTCGCTCTGCTCAGTAGGCCGATGTCTGGTGAGACGGTTGACGCTACGATGAGGAGATCTGAAAGGTTGGGAGGAAACTCCTTGAGCCTCAATATTGAGTGATGAGGCGGCTTTTCGGCGCCGAATGGGTCGACAGGGTCGTTCAATGTCTGGAAAGCGAAGTCGGAAGGTAGCTTTCTTGTAATGAGATGGTATACTGAGGTTGGCGGGGACTCCGAAGTTGATGTGTGGATGGCGAGGAACAGATGGTTTTCCAGCCAGGTCAAAGAAGAGACTATAGTCAATTAGTTCAGCATGGTATTGCACAATCCTCCGGCTCGAGAACCTACCGTGAGCATCAGACACGTTTGGTGGCCGCGGGATCTCGCCCTTCGCTTCACCCTCAGGGGTCATTTGGAAGATGGTTCCGTCTGCCAAGCCCGCCACCAGCTGCTTTCCCTTCGTACTCCAGCTTATACAGCTAACCTGTGCTTTCAGGGCGTTGCTAACTGACCTCTCCTTCAGGTTTGCCATGTGCAGGTTGCCGTTATTCGTCACAATGGCGCACAGCTCCGCCTTCTCGATCGTGGGGTTCGGGAAGAGCGCCCTCAGCGTCTCGCCGTTCGTCGCTAGCTCAAAGGCAGCTTTCGTGGCGCCCTGGAGCAGGCTTTCCACCTCGTATACCGCGAGACCGCCTCCGCTCTCGGCGGAGAGGATCAGGTAGTTCTCGTCGGCGCTGAAGGCGAGCTGCGACACCCTCATAGGCATGGGCAGCTTGCCCTGCGGCTGGAACGCGCGGACATCGGAGTCGCCTTCCTTCTCGCCCTCGAAGCCCTTGCGCACGGAGTCGGTCGAGGTGATGGTGATACCGTCGGGTCCGGCGGCGGCGACGAGGCCTCGGCGGGAGGCGATGCTGATGAGCGAGGCAGTGTCGGCGGGCGGCGGGGACCAGGCGGATGTGAGTCGGAGCTTTGCGTCGCCTGCAATCGACTTGAAACCAAGCGCCTGAATAGATGTACATGGTGAGCTTCGAACTTTCAAAAGACAGCGGCATCGACGGTGTCGGTGACCAGATCTCACCTCGGTCTGGATCACCTCCAGCTCGGGGCCTTGAGTCAGTCCTCCTCCTCCTCCAGCCGTGGCGTTTCCTTGATTCGCGAAGCTGAAAGCCATGACTGTTGCGACGTGACCGGCTTGTGGAGGGAGGACGTGTAAGTCAGGGTGGTCCTCCGCATTCGCTGGAGGGGTCGCGTTGTTGATAAGAGTTTTCCCCTGGTGCTTCTTTTCTTTTTTTTCGTCTTCTTGTTCCCCCCCTCTACTTCTTGCTCTTGTTACTTCGCGCTACAGTCAGCTGGGTATGTTGTTGCTAGAGCCACGAGGTTTGGCTTTGTTGCTGCCGTCGCAACTGGCAGCAATGGGATAAAGAGAAGGGGAAAAAGCCGAATGAAGCCTGGCTAAGCGCTTCAAATTTGGAAGAAAATAAGTATTATGTCGTCCCACACGTAGAAACGCGATGCAATTGGGTGGAAAGCAGAGAGAGAGAAGCGCCAGTCGAGATGCGTCAAAAGAATCTTGCACCTTCTGCTGGTCTTTTGGCCTGGAACTTTTTGAGAAATGGCTACCTAAAAATTCCCAGCTCTCTGCTTGGCCCCGTCCCCCGTTCCCCGGCCGGATCGCCTGCCATGTAATAGGTACCTCCAAATATCCGAGTCACGTGCAATGAGCTTGGGTCTAGCTCAGATTTGGGGTTCTCTCCATCCAATCACTGCTGAGTCTGGCAAGCTCCGTTGAATGTCAGGGTGCCTTGCAGGCGTGCAGGAGCTCCCAGGCCCCCCCCAAACAGCGGCAACGACCATCGAAGGCAGCTTTTAGCCTCGTCATCCAGCTCTACCTTACCGTTTACTGCGTCCACCCTTCAACCTCACTCGATCCCCACCTCTCGACGACTTCTCCCCGAACCCAACCTGTACGGCCACGACTGACGACCACAAAAGCTTTGAACGAATTCGATAGTTTTCAAGAAACATAGGATAGAGATCGGGGTTTCCAGACAAAGGCAGCAACGATGCCCGGCTTCGACTTCTCAAACTACAACCGCAATGCGGCCCTCCACGCCAGAGGTGTCCCCCTCCCCAAGGCGACGAGCACAGGTACCACCATCGTGGGATGCATATTCGACGGCGGTGTTGTGGTCAGTACCCTCCATTCGATTCACGCCTTTGATCCAAGATGGCAGCTTTCTGGATTTGCCTGGTTCCCCTCTCTCCCCTCTCGATGGCATTTCATCCCTCTCCTTCAAGCACAGCAGCTGACAGAGCGAGATCTCTCTAGATTGCCGCCGATACAAGAGCAACCTCGGGCCCCATCGTCGCCGACAAGAACTGCGAAAAGCTGCACTACATCGCGCCTCAGATTTGGTGTGCAGGAGCCGGTACCGCCGCCGACACCGAGTTCACCACGGCAATCATATCCTCCAACCTCGAGCTCCACGCCCTCTCCACGGGCCGCAAGCCCCGCGTCGTCACCTGTATGACCATGCTCAAGCAGCACCTCTTCCAGTACCAGGGCCACATTGGCGCCTACCTCGTCGTCGCCGGCGTCGACCCCACGGGAACGCACCTCTTCACCGTCCACGCCCACGGCTCCACCGACAAGCTCCCCTACGTCACCATGGGCTCCGGTTCCCTGGCCGCCATGTCCGTCTTCGAGACCCAGTGGAAGCCCTCCCTGACCCAGGACGAGGCCGTCAAGCTTGCCAGCGACGCCATCCAGGCCGGTATCTTCAACGATCTCGGCTCCGGAAGCAACGTCGACGTCGCCATCATCACAAAGGACAAGACCACCCTCAAGCGCGGCTTCGTCAAGCCCAACGAGCGTAGCGCCAAGCTCAAGAGCTATGCCTTCCAGAAGGGCACCACGGCTGTGCTCAACGAGAAGATTATCAAGAAGAACGAGATTGGCCGCTACGTGAGCGTAACGGAGGTGCCGGCTGGTGAAGCGATGGAGGTTGATACCTAAATGCATGATGTTTTACGAAGGCAATCGGAGGGGGGTTCATGGGGCGTGCTAAACGAAGTACTTCCATACCCGGAAGATTCTGTACCAATACAATGATGGCAATAGACGAGATTGACGCAAACCGATTCCCCATGTGCCAGCTCTCATCACGATTTTGACACGAAACAACTTGAACAAATTTAATAGGTAAGTATCTAGATGGTGATGCTCCTCTTGAGTGCCCGAATAGATTGGAAGCATCGTCAGTCTGCCGAGCTCGAAGATAACTACAAGTCAGACGTCCTAGGCCACTCATGAAACAGAGCTATTCGAATTTTCAAAAGGTCGGGGCCAAAAGTCACTCGGTGTTGCTCCCCCGAGGCATGGTCAACATACAACAAGTTTAACATACGGCCATTTGATCTCTTGTCAGCACTTGAAATCAATCAACAGTGTTCGCTTGATGATTTGATTTCAGAAATTTGATCCATTGGCCACAGTACCGTAATTAGGTAGGCAGAGGTATTTTTGTACGACAAAAGGAATCCCTATGAAGGGAGCAACACCATTGCTTCCCTCCCAGAACAAAAAAAAGACAAAAGTGGTATATACATAGGAGTCAAGGGTATGTTCGATCAAGGTCTGGACACGCTGAAAGGACCCATCACTTTTTTGTCCCCTATGTCACAAACCTAGCGTCCCCCCCGAGACCCAAATTCCTCGCACACGTTGTTAGAACAAAGTAGGGAGGGGCGTCCTTGTTCCCCCCTCCCTTAGGTCACCCTTTTGAGACCTCGTTGAATACAGAAAATGGCACAATTCCTAGCCTCTGAGTCTTTAAATGCCCAGTGAAAACAGCTGCACTCCGCAGAGCCAGTCTTCCAAAACTCCGAAGATGCGGGGTATGAAGGTGATGTGTTGATGCAAGTGGTCATGATCCATGAAATGCCGCTAGACGCTCCGCGCAAAAAGAACTTCAAAAAGACTCATCGCTAACCAGTCTTAATGCCGAACATGTGGCGCGTCCTGGACTTGCTGCGGGCATTTTTGGCAGGCTTGTCTTCGTCATTATACTTTGACTTGTGAATCCTGTGATGGCGCACGTCAGTACCAATATCCCGTTCCCTTGGAGGGCTACATGTAAAACATACCAGCTGTTGCCGACCATGTTCATCCCTTTGGCCTCAGCTTGTCTATAAAAGCCAGCGGCCTTCTTAAGGTTCTTCTTGCAGCCTACTCCTTGAGCGTAGCAAAAGCCTGCTTCAGCCAGTGCATCTACATCGCCCCAAGCTGTTCACTCTGTCAGTTTCATGGATCCTTCAGAAGAGGCGATCTCAACTTACATCCAGCAATCTCAAAGCATCTCAGGGCAAGGGCCTTGTCCTGCTCAATGCCCCATCCATTCATATGGCTCACGCCAAGCTCATAGATACTGAGTGCAAATTGTGCCTTACGAGTTCTTCGCTCCATGGCATCCACGAACTTTCCTTCCTTGACATGGTCCTCATCGTCGGCAATTTCAAGGCTGGCGCATTCAGCTGCTTTCCGCAGCCACTCAACACCCTCCCGCTGGTTCGGCCGCATACCCCAGCCGTGTCTGCATGCCAACGCATACAGAAGCATCCCCGTCGGGTTGCCTCCCTTGGCTGCATGGCGAAGATGGTAGGTTGATTCCTTCACTGAGCCATTCTCATGGCATTCAATACCCTTGGCTAGGTGCTCCTCCGGAGACATGTCTGAAGCTGTGGGGGCACCTGAGGCCAATGAGCGTGTCGCCTTGACAGTGCTGTTGGAATCGCTAGTGGTAGTTGACATGGCAGTCTGACCACGTGCAGCAATATCATGAGCCTGGGAGTTGAGGGCACGACCCCGAGAGTCCTCCTCTGAGGCCCGGCTCTCGGTCGATGGGCGGCTAGGGTTGGGAGATGGCTGCTGCGCCGGACCACCGCGATCGAGACTGCGCTTTCCTTGGTCGAAAGAAGGCTTGCCAAGGCTAAGATTATCGGGCTCTGCTGAGCTAGACGGCCGAGTCGGTGGAGATGGAGGTGCTCCGCGCTGGATAGCTTGTACATTGCTTGGAGCAGTCACAGGCTGCTCCCACTGGAAGGAAGCTTGCGGGTGAGGATCGAGAGGAACTGATCGCTGAACGATCTTGCCTCGGGGAAGTGAGTACTTGGAGTAAATGTACGAGGGGGCGGCCTTGCCATCATCGTGTACATGGTCGGGGAAGCCTTCGCTGTTCATACTGACAGGAGTGTTGGCGGAGTCATCGTTCGCAAACATGAATGACGGTTGACTGTCAGATGAGGCCTGGCGCGTTGGGGTCTCCAATCCAGGTGTGCCAGCTCGGCTCATGGGTCTCGAAAAGTTGAAGGAGGGTCGCGGCAGTGGCATTGAGGCGTCGGAGCACACGGATGGTGAGCGCTGGAAAGGACCTGGGTTCAGGTTGGGTGACGTTGTTGACACCGCATAAGCGCTGCAACTCGACAGTTTGCGCGGCGGCAACGACTGAACAGAGTTGCTCATGTCGTCGCTAGTGTTTTCGAGTGGCGAAGATATGGAGGTCGCCGATCGTGCTGTAAAGCTGGGTCGCGGAGGAGCCAAGCCAGGTCCATCAAACGAGTGTCCCTTTGACTTGCCGGGTGATCCATTCAACGAGTTTTCGCGTGACCGTGCTGGTGAGAGAAGAGGTAGTGAATGGTCTTTTCGTGGAGGCGATGCTTGCAAGTGAGAGTCGTTCGTCGGGTGTTCCATAGGCGCTGGAGACTGTTCTCTTCTTGCGCCAAAGTACGTCTCATCCTGATGCTCCTCCATCGGATCCAACACTCTTCCACGCATCATATCGGGCAACGGCGTTGGTAGAGGCTCGTTCTCGTCGGGAGTGGGCGGAATACGGCTCATTCGAGGGTGCACCGAAACGGGACGATCTTTCTCGGACGGAAAGGCGTCCTCGACCTCGGTTCTAAGTCCCAGTCCTGGGTTCTGAAGCTCAGGAAGCGGCATCTCGTCGGATCCTGAATCGTTAGACATGGAGCGAAAGTAGTCTGATCGGCCCTGTACGACCAAAGGACTTTCGGTCGTAAGAGGTGGTAGTCTGCTCATGCGCCTTCCTTCGCCGCTCGCGGCAGCTTGGAGCTGCCTCGCCAGTAGGCGACTCTGAAGAGCGAAGGCATCGAGAGGAGACAATTCGGGAGGTGCCTCGCCTGCGACGTGGAGTCTGGGTGATCGCAAAGGTCTCGAAACGTTGGACATGCTCGAGGGCGCCCGAAGATCGATGAAGTTTGGGCGTTGCGGCGACATGGTCGGTCGATTTCGGATCGCGTCTTGGTTTAGGTTCCCATGCAATGCGATGCAGCTGTTTTGCAAGTCTCGTGTGAGTGAGATGGGGGAGTCGACAACAGAGAGGATGTACGACCGGGCGAGCCCAGGAAGTGGTTGGTGGTTGGAATCCTGGCGGTGCAGGTCCTGTCTTAGCCGAAGGATCGGTTATGGCGTCAGTCTAGAATGGAGGAGGCCGCATAGAGGTCGAATAACAGGTTGATGGCCGGCTGATGGTGTGGCTGCCGAGAATGCTACCAACCGCGCATAAGAACAATGAGGTCAGGATTGGTTAGGGGCTCGAAAAGGAGTAAAGCTTTGA